TTAACTCGATTCGAACAAGAAATACACGAATGTAATTTAATTACATGAATGTAATTAAGTTACGTGATGTAATTTAATTACTTTGAGCATCAATTACTTGGGCATCAATTACAAATGCTCAAAGTAATTAGTAATTGAATGAAACTTAAATACAAATGCTGAAAGTAATGGGTAATTAAATGGATTTCAATTACAAGTAGTAAAAGTAATTTGTAATTAAATGTGTAATTTGAAGACAAAAGTAATTACTGCCGCCCATCTCTGATCTGGAGTAAGTCGCAGCGCTGAAATTAATTTAAGTTAATCACTTATAAAATCGAATAGCGTATAACTGATGTTTTGCCCATTATTTGGAATTCACGATTACTACCTACTCTCCCAGGTGCCGTTTCAACCGCTTGTATGACAGTCGTTCGCACTTCATGCTCGACTTCCTGCGCAAATTTATTCAACTGGAACACCAACAACAATTGTTTCTGCACAAGTTTTCTTTACGGTCTTGAATTATAAAGTTCACCAGCAACATTTCTGCCGCGCATTTTATCTATACACTTGAAACGGAGAGACGTACCTCTTCAATCGCCGCTTGGTTTGTGACATTATACTTTCTGTATTCCTCGTTTATCCTATTCCTCACAGCTAAGGAATAATAGAGTAAAATGTTGAAAATGCAAAATTTATTACAATGCAGCTTAAGAAAGTACAAAATACATTACCTTGCAACGCATATTCATCGCCTTATTGGAACGTCTTTAATCTTGTTCTGTGCAGTTGCTTGAAGATTCGCAGGACCTGAAAAGAATTATCACAAAAGTAAGTAAATAAAATGAGCAAAGTATAATCCTAATAGAGCTTACAATTGTTACTTAATAAAACATGCTTTTAAATGTAGGCGAAAATATTTTGTTGCCCATTTACTGTATTTACATTTGTGCAACAAATGTATAAACATTAAAAGATGTAAGGTATTACAGCTGCGTCAATGTTTATCGTAAACATTATATGAAAATTAATATTAGATTAATAACCCAACAATAACAGTGATAAATAACATCAAAAACGATTACTACTATCCATGTAATACAAATTGACTAATCAGTAATTAACCTCCCGTCGAAGAGGGTCGCCCATTTATGCAAAGTCTTGCAACTATATTGTCCGTTTTTACAGTCTCTTCTGTAACTGTAATATACTTGTTGCATAAAATAAATCCACTGAAAGCCGCCATTCTTATGACGGTTTCACACTGCGTCCGGTGCTGCCGAAGGGCTGTATCGGACCAGAGAGAAGCTTCTCTCTGTTATAACCTTTCGTCGTATTAAATTCATGGAATCAAAAATGCTTGCGTACAATGACAGTATATGCATTGATAATCCCAGGAAACTCCAATTTTATACCAAAAATGAGTAAAAATTACAAAATTCATATAATCGATCACATATAACCTTTTGTAGACGCCAACTTATAAAGCGATATTTTTAATTTCTCTTCGTTTTTTATATAAAGTCGTGAACCCCCCGCTTTGTCTTTACGCGTACTGTAATTGCGTGGAAGAATTTTGTAATTTTATAAAGCCAAATTCAAATTGCTCACGATTAAAAAATTGAAAATTTCAAATACCAATATCTCTCATTAGACTTCTGACCCGAGTGTTTCAAGTATAAAAACGTTCTGCTATGCGGTCCGCAACTTATCCTGGTATTATTTTAGGCGTAAAAACTTTTTTTTTTATTCTCCCTCTACGGGAAAGGCGTAAAAACTAATAAAAAGATTCAGCAGCGCAAAAACTATATTCGAATGTGTTGGTAAAACAGACGCGCAACCCTGTAGGATGGAAAATTTGTCTTCTAGGTGAGAAGACGCGCTGTAAACTCAGAGAGTTATTGAGTATCTCGAAGGGGTTGTGAAAGAACAGGGAAATGGAGGGCAAAGATAGGGAAGAGAGGCCCGAGTAAAGGGGAGGAGAGGTACTATTTATCAGACACAAAGAAAGACTGAGGAATAAAATAGAGATCGAGTCTACCGACGCAGCTGACAGGTCAGTGCCGCGTATAGGTTCCAGGCGTACCGCGAGGCGGCGACCGCTCGAGAGCAGCAGTATCGCGAAAGGCAATGCACGTATCTTGACGCGTGTCGCGCGCGCGCTAGCCTCACGCGAGTTTACCTAGTTGTCAAAGTATACCGGGGAAATCTGTGGTAAAGGCAGCAACGGCTCGATCGCTCACGTGTCGCGAGGTGACACGAAGCCGCGAGCAGCGCTCGCTCTCGGCCCTCTCGGCGGTCCCGAAACAACGAGATCGGCACAGCGCACGGAGCTGGGACGTCGCCGTAGCCGAAGAAACGCCATTTTGTGAGCTCGCGCTCTCGGGGACGTAAACATCGGACTTTCCAATAGTTTTCTACGCGACCAAGAGCTGTCCCGCCGACGACTCGCTGCCCGAGCGGCTCGTCGTGGCCCGCCGAGCGCGTTCTCGCCTCCTGGCCAGCCCAAGCCAAGCGACACCGTCTCTCGTCGCGGCTAACGCGCTGACGTTTCGCGCCAAATCCCGAGTCTGGTAGAGAGACGCACACCTGGCGCACATCGCGCGCGCTACCACAGAAGAACAGCTGTCGCCGTTAGCGACGCTTTCGCGCCGTGCCATTTCCGTGACCAGGTAACCGGCCAGCCGAGTTCACGCGAGCCTTGCGTATCTTCCTTGTTTACGTGTGACGCGTCATTAGAGATGCCCACGAAATCTCCAAACACTGCACGACTTTCAACTTTCCTCTCTTAAATTTACTTTACTCGAGTTGCGTGCTTTCTTTTCAGAGAGAGACACATACGCACACCAATAATGACGCTTATGCCATGACTGTTCGCTGTACAAAGTAAACATTTGATCGGCCAAGATTTTAAGATATGCTTCTTGTTGGTGCAAAGAGGCTTGATGAGTGCGCAAAAGTATAAGGAATGGTATTCTATTGGATTCAGCTGGATGTCAGATAAGCTGAAAAATGTCTGGTGATGCAGGATGGAACGCCGTTATTCACCATCCTTCCGACTTAGAATTGCAGAATTGGAATTGGGAAGAAAACGATGGGGAGCAGGAGAAAGAGCTCCCTTCGACCGTTGATATGGATGCCATAAAAGGTGGCGGTAGTTGGGATCCTGCTACTGAACCTAATGGTATCTGCAAAACTCCTGCCATTCCTCGTCCAATTAATTTCACGAGTTAAATGTTTTCTCTCGTTACAGGAACAGATTCGGTCGAATCCGAAGAAGACTCTGATTCCGACGACGAAAGTTCTGGGGGAAGCGAAGGCACTTGCTCTTATTCGGATTCTAATTCAGAGTCAGACGACGAAAGTAGCGGCGACGAGGAAGAGGATAGCGGATCCAATTCGGACTGCTCGTCTGAACATAGTGAACAAACCTTTTCCATTCAAGAAACCAATTTTGAACAAGTACGTTGAAGGGCAATGCTACTCGCTTCAAAACTCTTGTCCTAGCTTCGTTACTGCGACTTTTGTAAAAAGATATCTTGCCGTGGGTTGCAGGGAGCATTGAAATTGAAAATCACCATGAAGGGTCCGAAGAAGGAAGAATCTGAGAAAGTCAAGTGTGAAAAAAGTAAGAGGACCGTTACAAAAAAGACCAAGACCAATCATGGAAATAAGGTGATTGTAATAAACTTTCTTTCTCCTTTATTACAAGTTTATTATTAGAGTTTACCAGTGAGATCAATCGTCTTGATTCCAACTCAACTTTATTTCACATTAGAGTACTATTATTTATCTAAAAAAATCTAAATAAATAATCCACACGAATTGACGTAGTCCTCAGAATGTAGTAGCGAGGATTCAGACTCGCCTGTGGGCCACGCAGCGTCGCAACAAGCACAGCAGCAACAACAGTCGAAGCAGGAGCAGCAGCAGCAGCAGCAGCAATCGCAACATCACGCACCGCTACAAGAAATCAACCAGGAAGATCTGACGAACATCTTGCCTCCGCAAGAGCAAGAAGACGCGCCATTTGACGGATTTGAGGACTCGGAGAGCGGTCGGCTGGTGTCAAAGGCGATCGAGCGCATGTCGCTCGGCGCGGACTCGGACACGAGCGAAAACGGCGATCAGAATCCCGTGCCAGTGTACAGCTCCACTTTGTTGCAGCAGTTTGTCGAAAAGACCGCCATGCTGTCGGAGCCACGGAAGAGACGCAGCAAATGCGGCAAAAAGCTCAACAACGACAACGAGTATCCATGCGTGTCAAACGTATCGCCCGACTCTGGCATTCAGTCGGTGGACAACAGTCCGCTACACCTGGCCGTCAGTCCCGTCAGTCCTCCGGCGCCGACTCAATCCCCGATCCAACCGTCGATCGCCACTAAACCGGCGGTCAACGTCGATCGGGTTCTGTATCCTCCAAAGAGGAAACCCGGTAGACCAGCGAAGACAGTGTCTACGCAACCACGCGGGCCCGGCAGGCCGCGTTTGAAGCCGGAAATCGTCGAAAAGATCCAAAAGATCGAGAAGGCGGAGAAAGAGAGAAGCGAGTCTTTAAAAACTCTCAAGAATCCCGATTCTCGGTTAGCGGAGAAGAAGGAAGCCGCAAGGGAATCGAATACTAATAACTTAAAGAGCACCAAGGAAGACGCGTCTCCGGTTAGGAAACGGGGCAACGCAAAGTCCGTTGCATCGAGGGAAGCGAAAAAGGACGTGTCCCCCGCGAGTAAAAAGATTAAAGGCAAGACGGCAGCGTGTCTGAGGAAACGTTACGGTAACTCGGTGAAGAGTAACTCTTCGCAGGAGAAGACGATTGTGAAAAAGAGCCCGGGAACGAGTTCCCCGATGCGAGTAAAGTGCCTAAGCAGATCGAGCGCGAGCAAGCTCGTGGCGCAACAGTGCGATGGCAGGAGCTGCCGGAAAGCCAGGCACGACAGAACATGCGTGTCTAACAAGACCACGGTGCCATTGACGCGACGGAAGCAAACGTCCTGCGAGCAGCATCGCGCCGCCAACGATCAAAAGATGCTGAGCACTAGCAATAAGAGAACAGGTTCGAAGGAGAACAGGAGTAACACCGTCGTGTCGAGAAAGCTAGCCAAGAGAGTCGCACCTCCGATGACTAGGCGCGTTCTCAAGGAGAACAAGTGCAACAAGAAAACTACCGCGGCAGGCTTTGAGACTAACGGCGTGGGTGTGCAGACGTTAATATCCTTGCCAGTCGGCGACATATTAAAGGCAGAAAATGTGGAACGAGCTTCCAATAAAGGTGACAAGCAGCCGATCGAGCCGGTAGAACGCAACCATTGTCAGAAACATCATCACCATCATCATCACCATAAACATCGTCGGAGACTGCTCGCGCCACCCAAAAGTCCCATTCGCATCGATCCATATGTCATCCAGGAACTGGACAAGTTGATCGACGAATTTGCCAAGTTGTGCACCCTGGGCAAGAACAGCACGAGCGCCAATCATTCCGAGTTGCCGCAAATCTTTCGCGTAAAAAAGATGACGAAGAAAAGGAAGGGCGGCGACGCCGGTACGAGTGACGATCAGAAACTGAAGCGGCGCTTGAAAAAGGAGAAAACCTTAACGGGCACCGATTCCAAGAGCAGCGCCAACACCAGCACGAGTTCCAACCCGAACGAGCAGCGGTTACCGCTCAAGAAGCGCCACTATCACGTGTCGAGTCCGCACAGTTCGCAGAGCTCGAACGCGAGCTGCACGGATGCGAATGCGAACGAATCCAATTCGACGGAGAACCACATTGAGGAAGCGATCGAGGCTACCATCACGAGATACGGTGGTGGTAGCTCGACGTCCTCCATTCACGATGAGGAGTCCATGCCGGTGACGCCGAAGAAAAGGCCGAGAGATGCCGAGAGCAGTGTGGCATCTGAGAAACAGGGCAACGACGAGGACAAGTCCGCCGCCAGCCAGCCAGCAGAGGTTCAGCCGCGTCGGAAGAAAAAGATTGTCAAGGACCTTCGTGTCACCGTCACCAAATTATCGTCCGAGAGTCACGGCTTTCTCGAGAAAAACGACAAGGACAAGTCCGCGGAGAAGAGTTCCAAGATCGTCACGGAGAAATCTGGCAAGTCGGAAAAGATACTCGTGTCGGAGAGGTCGTCCAAGAGCGATAAAACTCAGTCGAACGACAAAGTAGATGTTGAACACGTTCGTACGGAAAAGAGTATAAAGGTCGACTCGGAGAGTCCGCACGTATCCGAGACGACGATGGACGACGGTGAGGCTGCGGCTGAGAGCAAGCTGGCTCAAAGTGCTAATTCGAACGTGCCAAATCTCATGAGTAACGCCGCGACGATAACAATCGCGAAGAAGAAGATACGGAGACGGAAGGCTATTAATCGCACGGGCTTTCCTACGCTCAAGAAAAAGAAGAAAAAGAAGCTTATAGTCTCGCCCAGAGTAGCCAAGTCGAACGTGGCGGTGAGCTTTGAATGGTTATGTAACGATCGGGATACGGTGAAAGATACAGAGGTAGACAGTAAGGCATCTTTGATGACGAGTAAAGCACAGAACTCAGTTGTCGAGAACAACGATAGCGCGGTAAAAGAACACGGCGGTAAAAGCGACGCCAAGAATTTCGGTAACTCTGCTACGGTGCAAGAAACGTCCAGTCCAAGTGGTTCGGACGAGGTGGCCGAGACATGTCCCGGTCAACTGCGAGTTCGTAAGGATCTCGTCGAATCTGACAGCAGCGTGCTGTCCGAGAAGCCGTATCCGAGCCCGGTTAAGTACGAGAAAATACCGGACTGCCGAATCTACGATGAGAACGCATCGCTGGAGGAATCCCTCGAACTTTACAATCAGAATCAACGTATCGCCGAGCTAAACGAAGAGAATTTGAGGAAATTGGAACGTGCCAACGCTGACGCGGCGAACGTCAAGATGGAACACTCTATCAATAATCTCAAGAGAAGAAAAGGCTCGACCAGTCCTTCCAATCTCTACGGGAGAAACGCAAAGAGATTGAGGAGCACGGGCTACGATACGGAGAGCGAGGCACCGCCCAGCAGCGACGTGGCCAGTGAGGATCAAGAGGTCGGCAGGAAACCCACAGGTCTCGTTCATAACCGGAAAAAGCAGTCCAGGTGGAAGAAGCGATATTTACAAACCAGCAGCATATTCTCCGAGTACAAGAAGGATCCCGAATCTAAGAAGCTCGCGACCGCCAGTGTTGACTCCAAACGGAAAATTATCATTTGCCCGCCCAACTCGGACGATCATTATACCGCGGAGCATTTACGAAATATACCGACTGGAAAGTTATTGCGACAGAGGAAAACGCCATTTCAACTGCGGTACGAGTTAGCGTGGTTGGAGGATCAATCCAAATTATCCGGTCGAGATTTGGTGCCGTCGTGGAATTACAGGTAAGCCAAATAATATTCTCTTTATTTCCTTCCACATTTTCTATAATGTCTTACAGATTTCAACAAGTCTCAAGTGTACGGTATTGTGTGTGTATAATAATGATTGAAATTGTAGAAATGTTGCATTTCTTTCTTTCTTTCTTTTTGCAGAAAAATTCGAACAAACATTTACATTGACGTTAAACCTACTACTCTGTACGAGGCGCAAGCCTGCGAATGCAAACCGGAAAGCGGCTGCGGGGACGATTGCATCAATCGCATGGTATTCAGCGAATGCTCGCCACAACTGTGTCCTTGCCCCGACAAGTGCGAGAATCAAAAGATTCAAAAGCACGAATGGTCGCCAGGACTACAAAGGTTCATGACGGAGGACAAAGGGTGGGGAGTGAGGACGCAGCAAGCTATCAAATCCGGGGACTTTATCCTCGAGTACGTGGGTGAAGTCGTGTCAGAGAGGGAATTCAAGTCGAGGATGGCGACCAAGTATGATTAATTTTGCCAGTAGCTATCGATTGTTATGCAATTGACAAAAGTGTGAAAACCGTGTAAAATGTCGTAGATATGCCAACGATACGCATCACTATTGTTTGCATCTGGACGGTGGCCTGGTAATCGATGGCCATCGCATGGGAGGTGACGGAAGGTTCGTGAATCATTCGTGCGAGCCGAATTGCGAGATGCAGAAATGGAGTGTTCTCGGGCTACCACGTATGGCGCTGTTCGCGTCGAGGGATATCAAGCCGGGAGAAGAATTAACGTACGATTACAATTTCGCGCTTTTCAATCCGTCGGAGGGGCAGCAGTGCCGATGCGGCAGTGATGCCTGCAGAGGCGTTATAGGTAAGAGTTTTACCTTGGCGCGGTACGGCCGTCAACATTTTCATCTATTTCACTTGTCATTTCTGTTCCGCACGCAGGCGGGAAGAGTCAAAGGGTAGCTCGAAGCGTTCCCTCTCTACCGTCGCAAATGGAGCCGGTCGAAAGGAGGGCGGTCGGCAGACCACGGAAAAACATTCGTAAATCGAATGCGGTGCAGTCGGCCAACTCCAAGAACATCTGCAAGTCTCGCAAAGTGGGAGATCCGACCTTGACGCACAACACGCCGCAACTGAAACCGATGTCTTATCAGCAACGATGCTTCGCGCGTGAACATCACTGTTTCTTGTTGAGGAATCTGGAAAAGGTGCGACGGCTCAAGTCGGCATCGGTGCAGCAAGTTCAAGTGCAGAACGGCAAAGCGAAATCGAGTAATACGAGTGTAACGAAGGAGAAGAGCTCGGGAGACTCTAAAGCGCAAACCGATGCGTTTTTCTCTCAATTAACTGCGCTAACCAACACCAACGCGCGTACCGTACGCACGCGTAGACTCGCGCAAGCACAGGATGATCCGCAAGTACACAAGACTGCGAAACTAGCCAAGGTCAGTGGTTCGTCGAAAGTAGCATTGACAAAGAAATTATTATTACATTATTATATTGTGCAAAGCATTACATTTTTTTTACAGGTATTGAAAGATTTGTACACAATTGTTACGACAGCGAATGATGAAAACGGTCAGCTGTTGTGCATTCCTTTCATGACTTTACCTCCTAAAAGAAAATTATCCGATTACTATGAAAAGATCTTTGAACCCATCGATCTGATTACGATAGAGCATGGTATCAGTACTGGTCATTACAAGACTGCGGAACATTTCGACCAAGATATGATAAGACTTTTCGACAACAATGTGAGATTCTTTGGTAGAACATCCGAGATAGGAATCGCTGCGGCGAGACTACGGAAATTATACTTGGGAAGTAAACCTGATTTTGTCGACGCTATAACAGAGGCGACAGGTACCCCGCCGTCCCAAGGCTTTTTACCACCTCGTGGATCGACGGCTGGAGAGGAGGACGTAATCAGATGCATTTGCGGACTACACAGGTAATTACTGACATCGATTATCGATCTAATATTACATCATATGTTACACGCGGTCGAAAGCAGAATGAAATTCTTATGTACTTTTCAAATTGGATAGAGGGTGTGTAGAGCCCGAGTACTTGAAGGGGAATATAGATAAACATAGGAGCGGGAGGGGGGAGGAGGATGAAATAAGAGCACTGATAAGAATTGTAGTAATATGGAAGATATGAATAAATACTCGCTAAATGAGGAAGAGAGAAGGTGCAAATTCTGTAGGATAGGAGTAGATCTAGTTTGGAACACTATGTGAAAGGCTGCAGTCAAGTATACAAATTTCAAACTGAATAAGGAGGAGGAGTGGGGCTCCGAGTACTTGAGGAAGGGCCGTGTGAATAAACTTAGGAGAATTGCAGATAATTGTAAACCAAGCCCTTTCTTGGCTTGTAAATGCTGAAATAAAGCTTTATGTACTCTATATACTTTTCACTAAATCTTTATTGACGATTTCAACAGAGACGAAGGTTTAATGATCCAGTGCGAACGGTGTCTCGTTTGGCAACATTGCGACTGTGTTAAGGCAGACACGAGCGTCGACTCTTACCTGTGCGAAAGATGTCAGCCTCGTGAGGTTGACTTGGAAATTCCGCTGGAAGGCGAAGAGGAGGAGGAAGGCAAGAGACATTACGTGACGCTGATGCGGGGCAATCTACAGCTCCGACAAGGCGACACAGTATACGTTTTAAGAGACACGCCTGACAAACACACGTACAAAACTATACAGAAACCTGACTATGAACAAATGGACATTTTCAGAATCGAACGTCTTTGGAAGAATCTCGAGTAAGCGATCGTTTTATATGTGATGATCGCAAAATGAGGTCATAGCATATCCACTTGAATTATAGAATTTAAAATTGAATCATTTATTTAACAGAGGCGAGAGGTTTGTATTTGGGCATCATTATCTCAGACCCCACGAAACATATCACGAGCCGACGCGAAAGTTCTATGTAAACGAAGTTGTATGCGCTCCGTTGTACGAAGCTGTCCCTTGCGACCTTGTGGCAGAGCGATGTTGGGTATTGGATCCTCACACTTTCTGCAAAGGTATGTATACATTCGATCATGTCATACGTGTCGAACTAACTTATATGTATATTTCTTTTTAATTAAGGACGCCCCGTCGGCTCTACTCCTCAACATACTTATGTGTGCGAATATCGTGTTGACCGCGCGGCACGACTTTTTACAAAGGTGGCGAGAGCCAGGCATACAGTATGCACGAAACCTTATGCATTTGAAACCTTCCCACAACGTATAAAACATTATCGCACTTACTTGGTAAGAGCGAACGTCGTTCTATCAAAGTCATTTTTATACGAGTACTTATCGCATTAGGTACGTTAAGTAATATTTATTTTGATATTTCCAGCCTCACAGTCTCGATGGAATCAAATTGTCTAAAGATAAAAAGAAGAGTAACACTCAGGAGATAGATGGCAATCAAAAGTTGGAATCCAATGATAACGTAAAAGCACACGGCAAAGAACACAAATACGGTAACAGGACTAGACGAAAGTCGGGCGAGAGCTTGACGGTCGCGCCGCCTGCGACATCGTATGCTCAAGTAATTATTGCAATGCAAAGCATCACTATTGTACGATTATGTACAATGTTGGTAATTTGACATGCTTCATAATTTGTAGCGGGAGGAACAGAGGAAAAGATTGAACAGCATTCTACTGAACCTACTACAGAGAATGCCGAATAAGAAAGATCCGTTAGATCTGTCGTTTCTTCTAGAAAGGAACAGGCGACATCGGAAAAGACCCGGCGGACTTAATCCGTGACAATGGGTAATATCACAACGATAATATCGTGTTGTATATATAGGCTAATCTAGAGTTACTACTAATTTCAGTCTTAGTCAGATTAATAGGCTAATTGATTCCAATCGTTCTAAGCTTGGTTCTGCTATGCGGATCAAGATAATTGTACATCTATCTTCTCCCCTTCCCTCTCCTCGCCCTCTTAACGAGGAAGGCGTGAGAGAAATTTTCCTCTTCGTACAACCCGTCCATTGGTGTAATTTATAATATCTATATATAATAGCTGAAATAATATTTAACATAGACAAAATTATCGATCGATACTTTTTTTTGGCATTTTTCCCCTTACTTTTTTTTATAGCTATCTTGTCATAGGCGGCTAGATCTCGACTTTTTGTTTCGTTTACTCTCAACCTTTCAATTATCGGCGATAAAATAGATGTATGGTAATAACAAGAATCATGTCGCAAACAATAGGTTCAAACTGAGTAGATTATACTAATTTTATTGTAATTAGGGTATTTAACGTAAGGGTAGTAATCGAAATTGAAAGTTAAGTCTAATCGGATGTCCCGTGAATTGGCTTCTTCCGTTAATATAATTGCGAAACGTGGACTTGTGTAGAAAATGTTTTGTACATTTTTTTTCATTGTTACTCTATAGCTAAATGTACAAATTATATACGTTTCGTGGGGTTAAAAGAGTAAACGAGTTATGTCAGTGCGAGTGGGAAGAATCAATCGTATGGGAATATGGATACTAGAGTGTGTGCATTCACGTATATAATGCTTTACTGCACAGAAGTAATATTATATTTTTCATAATCCCTCGATATTATATTTGAATCACGTGTAACATACTTTCTTCACTTTACGAAAGAATCTTTACTAATGTATTTAATTTATTGATATATCGAATAGAGTTGAACGCGATCGGATTGGGTCGCAGTGATTCCAAAATTGTACATATAGTGTACTCAGGACTTGATATTTATTATTGCATTACACAGTATGGTAGATACAGTATGACGATAAATATGTTTGATACATATGAATCTTACTCCCTTTTCTTTTTCTCGTACTAAACTATATTATCCATATATTATGTTTACTTTTATAGAAACTTCTAGTATTACATTTGTTTCAACGTAAGACGAAAGTATGAAAAATAATATTATTAGGACATTATTCTGTATAGTGACCATGGCGTTAATACAAGATATATTTATTTCGTCGGCGAAGAAATTGTTCTTTACAACTGCATCTGTATTCCAAGTATTGAGATATTTATTATATTGTGTAATTCAAAAATAAAAAAAAAGATTCGAAGCTGGCCTTCTATGTAAGCTAGGTTATCATAAAAGGAAACACACGGTGTGTGAGCAAGTTTTGAAAAGGATTTAAAACAATGCTGATCCAGCGTTGATTTCAGTGAATTATAAGAATATTGGACAGAATGTCATCGCCATGCATTTTCCATGACATACAGTTGCATCATTTCATTCAATTATTTTTATTCGTTAGGAACGTATAAAATGCAACTTAAATATAATATGTATCATATTGATATCGAAAACGATGTTGGCGTAAGAGAGAATCGTCAAGTACCACAATTTATTTTAATATATGTAATTGCAATCTTATACGTGGCTTTTATTATTATATGTACGAACATATACTTTGTGAGATATTTTTAGTGATGTGGAATTGTTTTACTAATTAGATATTTCTGTTTGTTTTTTTTATCTCCGTGCATTCAGATATATGTATATTGTTTGTAAGAATAACCCTTCTTCTACGTTTGTAGATGAACAAATCTCTTTCCAGCTATAATGACATTACAACTAATAATGACATTAACAATTATAGCGGCATGTATGTAACAACCATCTTCTTAATCAAGCATCTTAATTGAAATCGTGTTATTTATATATTAGGACGCATAAATTATGTTATTAAATGTTTCGTATAATAATATATTCGTACGTAATATATGAGAAGATAGTTTATAATTGTATGTACGAACAAAAAGTTTTTTTCGGTATATAATACAATTTAATTCATTTATATTATTAGCAAAGTCTAGCGAGGCCGACAGAAATACATGATGTATCGCAATAAAAGAACCATTATATTTTCATACACATTGAAGATCGGCAAAATTATTTTTCTTTTCAGTTCCAAAACAACTTTCGTCTTACGTTTATTGAATCTCTTTAATCGTGAAGAAGCGCGATTCTTTTATATTTTATATTAAGCGATTTTGTTTCTGCACACCATAATTAATCGTCGTTTAAATTGTCATATATGCATATATTAATGCGACACATTTTTCATCAGCTCATCATTCGTAACAGTAGCTGTGTAATAACTTGTCTCCTGAGTTTGCTTATATATATAATTAACACTATTATAATACATTTAGATATAATCAAAAGAAATCCTGGGAAAAAAAACGTTTGTTGCGACGACAGCTTTCAAACATGTAGTGCATGTACAGACTATATTGTATTCTGACGAACAAAAATATACAATGAAAAGTTTCCTTACACGAATCTGCCATACGTATTTTTGCTTCTCTCAATCTGTTTTGTTTTTAAGATACCACTCATGCGCGAATTTGGTAATTTTAATATAAATTTATGCTACACAAGAGATTACCGCTATGTAAGAATCTAGCATAAAGTTGCACAACACACATTATCTGTAGATGTAAAGATACAGATAAAACCCAAAATAAATAGAAGAACCCTTTTATTTTTATGAATATGTTTGTACATTTTTGTGTCAACAATTAAGTTTACAGGTTATGCATTAATTTTATTTTGCATCATATAGAAAAGAAATTACTATGTGTGATTATCGTCATTACATAATGCAGCCTACAACTTTGTGGCTCTTTCTTTTATTCTTCGCTTATGGTAACACAGAGGTACTAGCTTATGCTACGCGTGTAGGTGTAGGTTAAATAGAGTTCCTGATTATTTCTTAAAAAATAGCTCACCACCTCCTTTTACTCTCGTCTCTTCTAATATCTCTTAATTATATTTAACTTTGCGTATCGTTACATTTAATCATTACTTAAATTATTCTCGATTTCACACAAAAGTACTTTAGCTCGAAACATCACACACTGTACAATATGTACGGAGAAAAAAACGAGCTAATGAGACAATCATCCTTTGAACATAAAAAAGATCCTTTCTGCGAATGAAAATCGTAAGAAATGGATCATCCTTGTCGTGTCTTGTTCGTGTGAGACCTATATATTCGCTCTTCCAAACGATACAATTAAAAGATGATTTGTAGATGTCCGATGTAAGTTACATTTATCGTCGTTACATGACATAATTTTTGATTCATTAATCGTGAATAATCTGTATGTAAACACTGCTTCGAAAGATTATATTCTCAGAATCAAAATTATACACGCACACACGCACGCACACACACACGCGCGCGCGCGCGCGCGCACGCACGCACACACACAGAGGACACATACATACTAGCTTGTGTGTGCGCGTATAAATATATATTATGTATACATATAAAAATATATTATTAATAAGGTGCAGCTGAGATATTGTGAGGCGTTTGTTCTTTATTTCCTCGAGCGAGGATGTAATAAAGAAGTCGATTTTAATTATTCTCTAGCAGAGGAAGTACGTAGGGTAACAAATGCATTACAAATCGAATACCGTATAGAACAGATGAGACCAATGTGCTAAATTAAATGTTAAATAGATAATGCCGTTCTCTCTCATGCAATACATTCAAAAAGTATACAATCAGCAAAATGATGTTTATGCATTACGAGTAACAACTATATCAGAGGAAAGTATTCCGTGTAACTAGAAGATACAGTAGAGATACAAATAATATATTTCAAACTGTTTAATAAACCAAGTTAATTATAGCAAGACTGTCCGTGTCGTGTTGTGCAATGAAAAATCTGCATGTATAAAACGTGTGTCCAAGAATAATTTATTTGCGCCACAATATTTTTCTTTTTATACATTGTCGGTGATGTAGAAAGATAAGAATAGGGATAAACGATATACAATATATCTTTTTTTTGCAATTTTTCTCTCTAAGAGGGCACTGCTAAGTTTTACTATTAGCGAATTCTCTCTGGTGCAGATTAAAGCCTGTCGCTCACTGTTACGGTAAAAACATATGCGCGATTGATGAAATGGTCAACAAATGACACACACCGTATATATTAGATAACTTACGTTGGACTTTGGAAATCTTATCTCAAGTTCAACTGCTTACGTACACATTATTCAATGTCAATTATAATATATATGTCAAATCATACGTCAATTTGCATAAAACAGTTTTTAACGTGCACCGATGCATCCAAGCAAATTCGCTAAATCTATTCAATGTATAAATAGATATTTTTCTGTGTAATTTCTTTACTTTAGATCTGTACATATTTACACGAGCTTTTCAGGGTGATTGCTATCTTTTCTTTTCATCTTTTAATACTACTTGCGTGGTTTGTACCCATACGTAGTACTCTTCCTCTCTCTCTCTCTCTCTCTCTCTCTTACCTTCTCTCCTTACAGTTTTTAAAGATGCGATAAAAAGTTATATTCTTTCTCGCGAATGTTACATTGTCGTTAATGCACTTATAATATTAGACCTGTGTTTCCGGTAAGAATCGAAATTCATCCTTTAGTATTACATTTCAAAATTGATTTTCTCACAATGTATTTGTTGAAATGCAAGGGAACTTTTTGTTTTGTCTTGTCATATCTTTGCGCACGGAGATGAAAAAAATCGTGCGAAACTTTGTCGAAGCTAAGAAAGCGTAATGCCGTGTCCGCTGTTATGTCGATGCAATATTTCATGTATGACATCGCGAAAAACTCAAACACTTGTCAAATATATATTGTATATATACCGTGATATATGTAACGTGTGTGGTACAAGTTCTTTTCTCTACTTATGTGAATGAGATTGTTGCGTGGTGGTTGCTGTCGCTGCACTTAGAACGGGTATGCTCGTCCTCGCGCAAAAGTCTGTTATCCTTGCGAGTAATTGTATCCTGCTCCCGTATTGGCAGAGGTCGTTGCAACCATTTCGCTCGTAATCTCCTGTGAACGTATGCGTATGCAAAATTGATAAGCAGTTACACGAATAAACGATTCTGGCGACACGTGGATTGAAATGGAAATTGAAAGTTTTGGTTTGACAAAAACAGCGTTCTGTATGTTTATACCTTACATTCATTTTCCGTTCTCGCAACATTTACGGTGGTGGATTATTGTTTGCTTACAGCTTGGCCGCCAGCTGCAGTAGTCTGCCCACTCGGTTGTTGCTGACCCCAATACTGGTTGTTGTAATACTGTTGATTCCAGCTACTCCAATTACCGTTGCCGTATCCATGTTGATTGTATCCCGTCTGACTGTACGCGCCTTGGCCGTATCCCTTCCAACCACCTCCCCACTGTTGTTGTCCCCAGCCACTTTGTTGGTTCCAATTTCCCTGGGCCTGGTTACTTGACCAATTGTCCTGTTGACCCCAACTGGATTGTTGCGACGATCCTTGGTAATTTCCGCTAAAATAACCACAGACAAGCAATTATCAAGAATGATCAAGAATCTCAATAACTTGAAGGGAACAATAATTACCTCATAGAGCCCCAACCACCTTGCCTGGGTGCAACAGATCGGTTTCTGTCGTTTCCCGCTCTCCTGTCAATTCCAGGCATCCTTCTGTCAGCTCCTCGTACCATCGCTGGTCCACCTCGTCCTCGTAGTCTCCACGGCACAGGGGGTCCATAGCCACCAGTGTGTCTCATGTAACCACCCCTTTGCGGTCTCTCTCCTCTCCAGCCTCCCATATTGGCGCCGCGCCAAGTATTGCGACCTCTATCTTGATCTTACCCGGGAAGCATTCGATATTATGTAATTATACATACACACATACACAATTTATGATAAATAACGGCAAATAATAAGAAAATCACTCACAATTGTTTCTTCGATCTCGAATGTCTCGGCTGTTTCGCGAATCACGTGCTTCCTTGTTACTCTCAGTCTTGTCAAAACGCGATCGTTTTGCTGTGGATTGTTGACCGCATCCAGCATCTTTACCTTCCTTGTTATATTTCTCAATGAGCTTTTTAGCTTCCTCCTCGTCAAGACCGACCCACTCCACCGCATCGAAAGATTCTCCCACCGAAGGCGCAGTGAAGTTTGCTATTCAAATTGACCTTGTTACTTGAAATAGTCCGTTCTAAACTACGCGAGTATATATATATATCACAAGTGCGAAAAGTACCCTTCATTTCCGCAAGATTGGACTCTGAAGCATTTCCTTCGATCGCATTGTGCGTGGACAAACGTTGATTGTACTCTTCGTCCGTTGGTAAGACAACTATCGCTTTCCGCTGATATCCGCAGAAGTTGCGCATTTTACGCCTTTGCACGGAAGGATACACGTTGTTCTTCTACATATCACACGAAATTGTTTCAAAACTAATGCTTAAATTTCACAAATCAATTACTTGATGAAAATATCCGTGTTGAACATATACCTGATCTATTATATAGTTACGTCTCCTACTACTTGCCACGTCAATCAGTTGGTCGAGTGCGCGGCTGCATCTATCGATGATTTTTCGCTGACAAGTGTTTTGCTCTTGATCCGACAGAGCGATATCCTAAAAAAGGAAAGGAAAGAAAAGAAAAAACGTTGCATTAACACTAGACAAATGTGAAAGTTGATAATTTTCTGGAGCATACTTTACATACCCCAGTTTTCTCAAGCAAATTCTGGAGCGCCAAGATATTGTACAGCTTATCCGGATGATCGGCCGCGTACTTAGTTGCCCAGGCAGTTTTTCCCGAGGCGGGTAAACCACACATCATTATCACCTCGCAATCTGCCTTTCCATCTGGCCTACGCGGACCTGTGACTTTGTCTATCGATTCGACATTACCCACTAGAATATGACCTGCGATTTGCTCGCACCATGCCTCCTCTTGGCCAAAATTGCAGACGAACGTACAGTTTTTACTTAGAATGTGCGGAAACAACGGTCTATCGCCAAGTTCCTCTTTGGAGATGCTAAACGCAGATCCAACGCTCTTGCCGTTGACCGTGTAAAACAATTCTACGGTATTCTCAGGCGTCATGTCGAGATAACATCCTACGACATCGTCCTGGCCAAATGGGGAACCGTAGTCTGTGAACTTTCTGTCAGTACCCTGTTGCCCAGCGCTCGTATACGCGTAACTTAACTTCTCCTCACCCAGTTGCATGGACGTAGAGGGTACTGACCAGCCAATTCTAAGCATATACGAGTGTTTCTCGTCTTTCGCGATAGCAGGGTAGTGCTGTGTAATTCTGACTTCGTAATAAACTTTTCCATTCAAAACACCATGAGATGCTCTTGCACCAGCCCACATATCACAGAGGTCCCCGTCACACATGGGTGTGGCGGAGAAAAAGCCATCTTTATTAATAACTAAATTCAAATCTGAATCGTCTAAAAAGGAAAGAAGAGAAATATTTACATTTGTCATATCTCCAAAAATAACACGAGATTTAATTGAGAGAGTGAGAAAACTTACACCACGATAAAATTACAGCTGATTCGTCAAGATCTGGTTCATCCTCTGCTTTCTGTGGCACAGGAGACACCTGACGGACTCGCGTCGGGCTAGAAGATCTTATTCTTTTCCTGTCGTTGCGTTCTGTCTGACTCGATTCTTCCGCATCTAATGCAACCTTTTGCTTTAAGAAATAATCCTCGGCCATGTCCTTTTCCATGGGAATAAAATTCAGTGATTAAATGTACGATTAAGAACACTTAACGAAATGTATTATAGTAGATGTATACTATATACCTGCTTATCTTGTGAAATGTCATCGTTATCAATTTTTTCATCTAAATGTTGTACAGGCATTGACATGTGCAGTTTGTTATCTTGCACTGTATAATCATCACGAATAGATTTTTCTTCGTGTTTCAACTCAGTATCACACGTCTCGGCTACCTCATCAGGCATCACGTGCATTGGTTCTTCAGCTTCCGGAATGTTTATATTACCCTTAATGTTACATCTATCCTCTACACGTTCGTGCTCTTTCGCAATTGAAAATTTATCTTGATGGCTTTTCTCGAAAACATCATTGTCTTCATCTTTAATCTCTGGCTTTTCTTCCACTTTTCTAGTATCTTCCACTTGCATAGATAGCTGCTGAACCTTGCCATCTTCGTCTATATTAGATACCTTTGCCTCATCGCCTTGAGTTATAGAAAATTCATCTACGCATGCAATTGTACTAGGTTTTTCAGACGGTTCTGTCACAGGTACTTGGAGAATATTTGCTCGATATTTGTTACCTTCTAAAATATTAACATGTTTTGTTTCTTCCTCATATTTTTCGGATGAATATATTTTGTTCTGAAGAATGTTTGGTGTATCGTCTTCTTGCTCTTCTCTATACTTTTCAGGAGAGATTTTCGACATTTCGACATTTTCCTCTTGTTGTATTACAGGCTCTTCAGAGATCGATTCCGATATTGTCATTAATGTCTCGTACGTTTTCTCACCGTACTGAAACTTGCTCGGAGTAGATTGCTTTGAAAAGTGAGTTGGAGTTGTAGACGTTCTCGATGCGTTTCTCGTCGAAACTTTCGTCGGAGTCGTCATTGAGGAGCTCCTGGACGCTCTACTAGGCGTCCTCGGTGGTTGCGACGATCGCGCACCTTCCACGACTCTCTCTTGTGTTTCTTTCAAAGCCGTATCACTGATACTTTCCGTATGCAAAGCTGAACCATCTGCAAATCAATGTAATCAAACAAGAACAACATTGGAAACTAGAAATTACATTTTTTTAATTAAACATATTTCAGTCGTGTCTGAATGTATAAAGGAGCACGTTGGTCAGGCAACATCTTGTAAGGCAGTTTTTGGCGACTCTTTGATATCAACATTGCTGCTATTGGTAGATTATTATGCTAGCATGTACCACAATTGTTACGTTGAAATGTACAGGTTCTTTTCTATACTCTGCTTCGTTGCTACAACATGATATCAAGCAAAAGGGCTCTAAAGTCACATCTCTGCCGCAAGTTACCAAGCACGCGAAAATGTTCTGGTACACTTTGGTTGCTATACCGAAGTCACGCCAAAAATCGCCTATAAAATGTTACGTGCCCATGCAATGGTGTGGTGGTGGTGGTGGTGGTGGTAGCGGCGGCGGCGGCGGCGGCGGTGGTGAAGGCATCTCACTTGACTACGATGCGTGGCAACGGTAGATCGCGAGGGGTTAACAGAGTAAGGCGTAATCGAAATAGAAGCAAGTACAAGAGAGGTATTGGTCGGTGGATGACAGGTGCAGGACTTACATTCCTCTGTTTCCTCCTCCTCCAAAGCCTTGCGTAGCCGCTCGACGAGCACTGGCTTGTTGCCCTTGGTGTCGAGGCCGCGGTCGCTCAGTGCCGCTCGGAGCTCAACCACTTTCAACTTAGACGGATCCATCATGCGCGCGCGATACGTCCCGTTAATCGAACAGGCAAATTCATGCACACCTTACGTTTGACACAAAGGAGAAAATGCTCACGAAATACCCATATACACACGCCGCTGACCCGCGCTGCATACACAATATGGCGGGACGGTCGCAAAACAGTTGATTACGTAGCGCGTGCCGTGGCTATTGGCCGGCCGCGCGGCTGTCGCGAACCGACGCCGGCGGCACGGCCAATCGCGGCCGCTGTTTCATCCGCGACCGAGCGCCGCGCGCACCTCGATTGGTTCACTCTAAGGCGGGACGCGCGACCATTGGCCCGCGAATTCTCCGGATCCGGCGAATTATTAAATGGGCGTGACATACGTTGCACCTTTAAAAAACAAACCTCAGGATTACATTCAAGTGTCGCATCGGTTGCCGTAATACTTGTCGTAACAAATGCGGTAACGATACGCAAACGTTACATGCAGCCCAGCAATTGAAACTGCATACTTACTGCCAGCCAATAAGAGGCGCTTCTATTTTACACGCGATGCCCAACGCAACTTTCTAACTGGCCGTTGTTGATCGGTATCGTTTTCATGAAAGATCTATCCTCGATGTTGCGTATACGCACGTATGTATGATACATATATGGACGGAATACCGATGCTCATCGTATCATCGATCGATTGATCAAACTTTCAAACTGTCGCGATGCAAAGTAATTATATATTTATCTAAAGTTACAGTGAAATATATGCTTTATCGCTTTTTGTCCCGTAGTGAAACCGAAGAAACATGAATGCAATTAATATGAACTGGTTATCTTCAGCAGAAGGAGAGTCTTTGGTCCATCACTTCTACGTGAATCCTTCCAAGAAGAGGAGATTCTATGGTGCTATCTATACTTGCGCTAGTTAGACAACATGTAATCATTTGTTCATTTTCTTGCCGGTTTACTGTTTTCTATATTTCAGGCATTCTGGAGAGGCCGTCGCTGCCGTCTTCTATCGAGGAAGTCACGTACAAGATCTTCATGATAGGTAGATCTGGCGTGGGAAAGACCTCAGTGGTAGCGAGACTCGCAGGAATCCTCGACTCCAACAATTATACGGAAACCAGCGGGATAAGAAAAACTAACGTTTATTGGCCTGTCAAAATCTGGGATAAGGTCGTTCTGTTTAAACTGCAATTCTGGGACACGTCGGAGAGCAGTATAAAGCGATACAACCACATTCTGCCAGTATGTGTGAGAGAAACATCCACAAGTTTAACATATACATATAGATGTACCTTTCAGGTATGCAAAGATAAAGTTGACGCGATATGTTCTGTCTTTTCCTTCGACGACGCGTCAAGCTTCAATGACATTCCATACTTGATGAATACGATGACCAATGTAAAAGGGAAACCAGCAAACGTAGTGGTTGGCACAAAGTAAGTGTTGTATCGCTAGGTAACCAATTATTTTCATCTTGAGAATTGGCTTTTTGCAGGTTTAAACCTTGGTCAAGCTCCACGATAGACGAGACACAAATAAAAGAATTCGAGGACAAGTGGAAAGTTAAGGTGATCAAGATCGATGCTAGCAAATTGTCAGTAAGATCCGAAATATTTGACTGTTCGTATCAGTTGAATGCTATTTGTAACATCTTGTGGAATAGAGACAAGGAGTTTATATCTAAGCTGATGGGACAAGTTTAACCATTGCAAACAAATGTATTTTCCTATGTTTTATACAAAATAAAAAAGATATTACGTTTTGTTCGCTGTGTCCTCGATCACGTATAGTTGCAGATTTAAGCCATCGGTTTGAATATCTTTCAGTGGCAGTAGATTTTTATCAGTCATCTCTACTGCATCGTCTTTAATAATCCATGGAAAGTCTTGACACTTTGGGTTCTCGCTGAGAACAATGTGTGCAGTTTCATATGTTTGAATTTCAATAGAAAAGGTCGAATTGTCTGGAATGGGTCTCAAGTATGTATCACACATTGATAATTTTAAACAGACTGTCTTGAGTGCTTCTTCAGTCTTCAAATAATATGGATCTTTCCTTAAAATAGAAAAGAATTAATAAATCATTAGAATGAGAGAAATAACATAATTAATTAACATACTCTGTAAGCTCTGCCTGCAATTTAACCATATCGAAGACAAATTTTTCTATTGGCAACTTGTTCCTATTGTAGAAGGTAAGATTAATGGCCTTAACGCTGCTCTCGTCTTCCTTAATCAATTCCCTGATCGCATTGAGAACGCTTGATAAATATTCGTTCAATTCTGGATGCTCCGATACATATATCGTAATCCCATACATCTTTTTCTTAACAAAAATTTCCTTCGGATAGATTTTGCGAAAAAATAATATGTGATTAAACGCTACTTCCAAAAATTCCAAGAGAATATCAAGGCCAACTGCAAGCAAATTTTATTCATCTCGATAAAGCTGCTACGGCTGCACGTTGTTCGATATAGGAAAATGGGTTGGATTCATTGTAAAACTATACCTATCTTGTCTTGAGACATTTTACGACGATGTCATTCCGCAGTTTTTCAATACTTTGCCTCACATTCTCTCGCGTAATCAACAATAAACCGCCATTATGAATTACTCGAATAGCGTCACCTATGTCTAGAAATATATACTATAATCGCAGAATTGCTGTACTGATAAAATAAAAACCCTTAGCAAAAATTGATCTTTGCAAAATGAAGAATGCATTTCAATCAAAATATTATATCTTTTATTATCAACGCGAGTACAAATGCATATCAGCCAAACTTATAGTTGGTATAAATCTCGCGGAACATGTCGCGACATTTTATTTTAACTCCAAGTTTTGCACATAGCAAAAATATTCCAGACAACTTTCTATGCAAGCTGTATATCTCCTCGGGTGGTGGGCATAATCTGTTATTTATTATAGTTGGCACTAAGACTTGAATCCTGTAACACGCAATTACATTATTATACATTATGGGATAGACATAAAAATAGATTAACCATACCGTTTTGTTACATCCTGACCACCAAAGTCATAATATTCGCGATTATTGTCAAACACTTGACCAAGAATCATGACTGCATCCACGTGCGCGTTCTCCATAATCTGATGATGTAGAGAACGTTTGTATAGTAACGTTTCCAAAAAACTTTACGGATCGTTCAATAGAGATAAAATACCTTGGACTCGTATCCGGTAAGAAACTTCATTTCTCGAGATAGCTGCAGGACCTTGTCGCGATTTCCTTCGCTCGCGGCATTAATCACCTCTATATATTTATCCATAAACGCTTTTTCATAAGTCCTGCATGCTCCAAAATCCAATAAAATTAACTGCCAAGATTTCTATTAGTACTCTCGCGAACAATACACTTAAAAATACATCAATTACTATGCGGCAAACCTGCTTTGTGTCGAAATTATAAAAGAAGTTGGACCAATTTGGATCAGTCTGCATATATTGGAATTCGAATAACTCTTTTAGGCTCAAACGCATGATTAGTTCACTTATACGTTCTCGAATTTTAACATCCATATTTGTACATTTGTCAACGGGTATACCTTCTATCATCTCTGTTGTAAATACTTGTTTTGTCGAGACGTCATCTAGAAATTTCATTGATATTAAAATCAAAAATTGACAAAAATACATCTTTTCATTTACCTATTACTGCAGGCACATAATAATCTGGATAAGGTATTATCAAGTCCCTATATTTTTTCGTACATTCTGCTTCTCTTACATAATCCACTTCCCATGCTAATTCCCGTTTCGCAACCTCCACCACATTGTCTATAAACATTCCTTCTGGAAACATATTCCATACCTGCAATAAATACGACATTTATGTAATAAAGTCTAGTCGGTAAAGTCCACGATATAACGTTGATTCAAAATATTCTCACACCTTCATTATGCCCACTAAATTTTCAATATCACTCTGAATACCCATAGCTACACCAGGATACTGAATCTTTATCGCTACATCTTGCTTGTTCAATAATGTACCGTGATGAACTTGTCCTAAGATATATATATATAATTAAATGATCTCTCAATCACACTATTATATACGAACACATAAAAATAGTAGTATTATGTACGAATATACCAATGGATGCTGCGGCAAATGGTTTTTCCTCAAAGTGGGCAAATTTATCTCTCCAATTGTGTCCAAGTTCGTTAGCTAACACTTTCTAGAAGAAATTGTAGAGCACGAGAGAGAGAGAGGGATTCCATCTTAATCTATCTACAATATATATTTGTATTATTTACCTCTACTTGCCACGCTGGCATAAAATCAGCGCTTTGTCTGACCCTTTCAAAAATCTTTTGCAATTCGGGACTTATAATACTATTATCTTGGATGCTTAATATCTGACCAATTTTTAAAGCCGCACCTATATAATAAATTATAAGGTAAATTGAGATCAAACTCTCTCATAATGCATAAATATATGATAAAGTTATGTATACTTCACCTCTCACTTTGCATAACGTAGAAACTATTCTTTCTGCATTAGCTTTAGTAAGAAACATATTGTCAACTGTATCCCCAATGCTCTGCTCCTTTAATCCCAACGTCCTTCGTGTATATTCTGCAGCAGTACCAAGCCCGAGGCCAATACCCAAGGTACCGAAACTTACCATTCTTTGCAATCTTGTAGAAGGAACTTTTCTTTCTCTGGCAGTAGGTGATAGCTGTGACACACACATAAATCGGATAATATTGGTACACATATTCGTTTAATAAGAGTATGTATAAAAAGATGTAATAAATAACAATTCATTTTTGGTCACTTACGCATTGCTTTGGTCTAACTGATAATTTAGTGTTAGGTCTCTCTATAGAATTCATCTGTGTGTGTACACATTCCTTTTCATGTGCTTCAGTTATAGAGGAATTAGCAGAACTTGAAACACTGTTTTTAATATTCTTCTCATGTTCCAATTCCAATTTCCTCAAGATTTCTTTATCTTTGTCAGAAAATTCGATATCAGGTATCTCCTTATCTAGATTAGTAATGGTCTGGATCTTTTCCTTTACGCTCATATACTTTTTCATAGATTTGTCAGTATTGTATTTTGCTACTGTGACATCTCCGTCAATAGACAATTCTTTTGGATCTTTCGCGGTGTCATAAACGTATAGCTTTCTTTCCTTCTTAGGGGTATAACCATTATTTTTTATATCCAAAGTTTGATTAGCTGTTATCTTAATGTATTGTTTAATACCTTCCTCAACCACACTTATGCGTTCAGTTACTTCTTTCAAGTCTTTCATTATTTGTCCCTGTAGAAACACAATTTTTGTAAAATGAAAATATATGTCAAATGACACATCACTTGGGTATTAATCGCAAGACTTACAGGAACCTTACTTGGCTTTGCGTTACTCAATTTTTCCCTTGCAGCTTGTAAACACTTCTCAGGCAAGTCTTTCACACTGGAGTGTGTGATTCTATATCTGATTGTATCCTCCTCATGTTTTATCAGAGCATTCGCAACCCTTTTCGCTCCCTTGAGTACACCAAGTAAGTCGGAAACTTTGGATCGAGGCATTTCTAAGAAAAAAGTGCAAATAATAATGAATTTTATTATGCCATAATATGTAAAATAACTTTAATGGCATTTTAGTAATAATGTAGCAAGTATATGCAATATATGAATCCTTTACGTCTCTATTCGTCGAACTGGGCGTTAAGGTTAGCACAACTTTGTAGAAATTATTATACTGTAGTGGCATGAAAAGCAGAAATTTTTAGTGTCTCGATATACCGACAGATGTTACTCAACAATGTAGATTATGAAAATAACTCACCTATAACTAAAATAATGACAAATAAAATTTTTGCCTAACGATCGTAGGTACACGCGTTTCGTAAGTCTCACAATCAGCGCGATACTTGTAGATTGCTTGTGATCTAGTCTTTGATTACATCATACACGAAATGTTGAGCAATTTACATTTTTCTTTAGAAATAAGTATTTAATATTTTTATTACTAATATGTCTTTATCAGAATAAATATTGTATACAATCAGTTTAGGTGAAATAAATGTGACTAAACAAATTTTAAAAATTGTTTTATTTGCTTTACATTATACATCTTCATTTCATCGGCATTCTTTGTGTAGAACTATTTAAGAAAATTTACAGAAATTTCACAATTGCACTATTTTCACCTGGTATGTATATCAATAATAACTATATATACGAATTTTACGCGATATTTTAATGCAAATATCACACCAGATATATTCGACCATATTAAACATCACAGGAAAATTATCCTCACACAATATAATATTATTGCTACGTATATATTTATATATGTTATATATTTGAATTCTTTAAGAAAATTATCAAGTGCCTATTATCTCCTTAACAGCTTTATACAATACAAGCCCTACACGAAATCATCAGGTCTTATCTTTATATATATACATGATTATTTATCTCTCGTTGTACCTTTATATCTTAATATCCTACAAACATAAAAAACTTTTTATACATTTTATTCTAATAGCTTTGGGATGGCAATCTAACAATCTTCTTCCGAAGGAAAGTTAGTATTAATATCTATAGAGCTTACGTGACTGTTACTTTACTTGATAAACTGCGAGTCTCTCAACGAGTTTAACTGATACACATATATAATTTTTACACGTGAAATTGTATTTCCACGGATAATTGTCATCCATCTTAAGCGTATGTTGATTATTAACATATATGTGAACTTTGATATATATATATATATATATATGTATATTAGATTCAGATACAAAAATCCTTGGGTATCGTAAAACTGATCAGACTTTCATAGGAATATACATATTGAATTAATCGCGAGTTTAAGCACTTCTGACTCTACAAATTGTTAAATATTTTCAAGATCCCGGTGACACCATAACAAAGTTATCCTCTCCAGTCTTTATATTACAACTATAGAGGAAAAAAGCCGAGTTTCTATGACGGAATATCCAAGCGGATTAAATGACATTTGGCTGATCTGGAATAAGCGAAGCAAAAAACGAACTAAAGAAGGTCCAAGTAAATGCAAGAGCGCCTGGCCGTTGCTCCTCGTTCTCCTCATTGGCGTTTGTTCGTGCTTCCGGTTGCACGGTTGGCACTTGAGCATTTTGCTGTTGCGGCACAGCCTGAGGACCTACTACTTCATTCTGCAACACTTGATTGTTGTTGTCTGCGCGTCCATTGTTATTCTCAGCCAATAAGATTGGTTGTACCCTGAAGAAACCGCCTTGATATCTACAAATAGATATCATTTTATTACATTTAATATAATTTTCAGACGAGTACAGAGAAAAGGAAATATATATGAGTTGCGGATTAATTAAAGAATATTAGAGAACTGGCTTACAGATATATCGCAAATCCCAAAAATGTGACGATGAGGAATCTAAGAGGGGACGAATAAAAATACACTATGCCAAATAGAACGACGATCCTAGACAACATGTAGAAGAAATCCAACCAGTCGCGATTAAACGCCGCATCCTCGCCTACACCGTTATTTCCCGCGTTGATATCGGCTGCGTCCTGAGCCGCTGGTTGAGGTTGCTCGTCGCCAACATTGTTGTTATTGTTGCTCGTGTACGAATGTTGAGCCGCATCGCCTGCGTTAATATTCATTTGCTGCAGGTATGGAATGCTAGCTTGCAACTGTACGCCTTGCGCTGCCATTCTGCAAAAGAACATTGCAACTTTTATATCTTCTTTACGCATCTTTCGTATCTCGTAGAAAAAGACAGCTACACTTACAGTTGCATATACTGTGTAAAATAATGTGTATAAGCCTGTTGCATCCAGGCTAACTGTTGACTATTTCGAGGATCAAGATACTGCTGAGGTAAATACTGTTGATGCTGAGACGCAGTAACGTTAGTATTCTCATGATTTGGGTTTGGAACATTGATGCTTCTGATATGAGTGTGTCTCGTTGCAGTATCCACATTTTTCTCCATCGATCGATTCTGATCCGTACTTTTTACTGCACACATTTTTTGCGGGGTACAGACTAGATGAACAGTATACGCTTGATCCTCTGAACCATCGCACTGTCTCAAGATGTCTTTCAATTGGGCCGAATCATTCAACAATTGACCAGAATAGATCAATTTCTGATGTGAGCTTTCCTACAAATAATAACAACCTTTTAAATAGCACATCCTCCTGTCCAAAGTCTCAAAGTATTGTTCTCGCTTTTCCGAGATGCTGATTGGCTGTCTCACTTGTGCGATACGACATGCTTCAGTCGTGTTATTTGCAGCTGTCAAATCATGCCAATTTTTAGAGAGAGAGAAAGAGAAAGAGCAAAAACAGCATAATACAATAATGACAACTAGTTGTAGTATCGGTAACAAAAGATACAAAATTTTTAATAGCAATATTTATACAGATCATAAAATTGAAAATCTGAGGTAAAAGTACTTTTGTAAAAAATGTCTAAACTTGCTATTGATAAATCCAACAACATATATCAGATAAGATCTTGACAAAGATATCATGTCTTTTTTTACATGCAACTGAGAAGAAGAGCTCATAAATACTTGCATTTAACGATATTTGTATCTTTCCTTGAAACGGTATGATTACAGATTACAGAGTTTCGGAAGAAAAAAGTGTCAATCTGAATATAAAAGCGACGAACCTTCTATTTATTTAAATTAAATTAATCGAGAATCATTCTTGCATCCAATTAACATTTAAATGTCTCGATTAACATTGCTTAAACACAATCATTCTTCCGGTCAGCTCGGATAGCGCAAAGAGAAACAAGGGGGGAAAAAATAAAATGCAAAGAGAAACGAACACTGCTTTCACCAGACGGAAGCGATTACTTTCACGCGACTTACTGGCTTGCTGGGATAGACTTCGGAGAGGTATTCCTTCAAACGGCCAATAGTCCAGCCGAGATCGCATTTCACCACCTGGTCCTTGATCTGTTGATTCGGTGCCTTTATTATGAGATTAACGGCGGCGTCTGCCATTCTCTCGGCGTGTCACAGCCAGGTCAGCTGTTCAAGTAGCACGCAACAGCGATTACCAATTCTTGCTCCGTCTCGTCGTCGTTTACGTCGCCGATGACGGAGACTGGGACGAAGACGGTGATATCGGTCGCGCCCTTTGCCGATCCAGAGAGACAGAGAGAGAGACAGAGAGAGAGAGGGGGAGAGAGAGGAGAGAAGAGGGTGATCTTTAATTCTCGAGAGAAAATGTCTTGCACACGCGATTCTCGTCGCGTTGCTATTTAACAAGTTCTGTCGACCGATCGTGCACAACCACCGTCGAATGTCATCTGATATCGCTGAAACGTTACCGTGTATGTGTGCATCTGCGTACGTACGTGCGTCCAAACATACAACACATACAATACACACACCTTCGTAATATAGAGATGTCGGAATTGCGATTTGGCGATCGCTCATTGGCTCGAGATTACGCGCGCTCTCTCGCCCGTGCACGCCTAAGGTGCAATTTCCACCGCAGGCGGAAGTTGGCTAGGGAAAGCAGCACTAGCCAATCAACGTCTCGTGCGCTCGGATGTGGATTGGCTAGTGCTGACATTGAGTGCGTTCCGGCAAGACACTGCTACCGTAGCGCTACAGCTTTTTCGCTACAATTGTAGCGGTGCCATATATACATTAGCGTGCATAACCTCAAAATTGAATTATAAGAGTCGCGTTTACCTCGTTTACAAAATTAATTGAAACGAATAGAATGGAAAATATTGAAGATTGGCTCATGAATGACATATTGTTCGATGATTCATCAGATGAAAGCAACGTTAAAGAGGAAGAAGTTCCGCTACAGTTGTAGCGGTACGTTTTGCCGAAACGTACTCGTGTAGCGCTATCGTAGCGCTACCGTAGCGCTACGGTAGCAGTGTCTTGCCGGAACGCACTCATTCCTACATTCGCAATGTAACTGTTTAACGTTGGAAATCTGACTTAAAATTTGGCTTAAATCGAATGTGTTTAGGAAACAAACATGGAGGTTTTCGAATCAAATGTAGCCGTTTCTCCTCTCATGAGTGTAAACAAAATGTAGGTGTTAGAGCTATTCCGTTTATTTTGTGTTTGTGAAATTAAGATGCTACGACACACAGAGCTTGAGAAAAAAGAAATAATGCTTTTATTTGTATTACAGGGATCCATCGAAATGTAAGAGGAGCGAACGTAGACGCTCGTCGGTAAGTTTAGATCAGAGAGCTACTTAATTTTAATACTAATGTATCTCTACTAAGAAATGACTTGACACCGACTCTTAAGATTCTTAAACCACGCAAGACACGGCAACCGTTGCAAAATGTAAATTTGGATTCTTCATCCAACGAGAACAGCCCAGTTACAGCAAAAGTTAAGAGGCGTGTTAGTTTTGCAGAGAAAAAACATGTCAAGTAAGTACCCAGCTTTATGATATTTAGCTATAATTCGCTGCTCTAATACTTTGTTCTGTGCAGAGAGTTTTGTCACTCTACTGAACAAGGGACTGTATGGGATAATACGTATGAAGAGCATGATTTTAGTTCAAAAGGATCTTTTGTGGTTGAGCAGAATACCCAAGTTGAACCACAAGAAATCGCACCATTATGTGCTAGTAAGGACTATATTGATCCCGATAGTAACTCGTGTGATCGAAACAATACCCATTTAGTAAATAATCAGCTGTCACAAGAATCTGCCGCAACAGCCAATGAAGATGACGATGCAAACTCTGATTTAGATTTCACTAATCCAGTCAAATCTATACAATTGTCAGATACATCTCTACTTGGATATGATAAATTGCCAAATAAGTCGTATGTGTGTGAAGGTGAGGTATCGAGTGGTATTGTTGCATATAGCGACACGGATGAAGAATGTATAGAATTACCTGATAAAAAATCTCAACCTCAGCCAACTGTAATATCAGCAAATACATCTTGTGCATGGAAAAATCAGGTAAACTCAAGCAACATTGCTATATATAGAGATTCTGACGAAGAGTATCACGCTGAGGATAATGATGCCGCTAAATCTTCCAAGTCATGTTCTAGCAATGTTGACTCTAAATTTGACAAGACGCTTGTCCAGGATTTGTCTATGGAGTTGACTGCACCAATACCTGTATTTTTATTATCACACTTACAGACGGAACAAAAAAAGAAGCAAAAGTGCAATGATATAAATAATGTAGATACAGATTATTGCAATAATGTATCAATGGAAATTACCGAGGCTGTACCAGTGTTTGCAACGTCTGTCGCGTCTGATTTAAAAACTTGCCAACAAATTTCAACAATGTCACAAAAGTGTACAAATACAAAATGTGATGCTGATAACACCCACCACACAATAGATGACAACTATGCCAATGATTCAATGGCATTAACGTCTGTTGTACAGCCATTTACAGATGTCACTGGCACTGGTATACATCGTGCTCTCGATACTTCAATGGAAATGGTTAGTGTACCAGCCAAAATACTTGTATATGAAAATAATGCCTGTAAAGAAAATGATCTGAGAAAGGATGCAACTGATAAAACTGAGATTTTTAATTGCGTACCAATGGAAATGACACAACCAGTAAGTACCATATTGTCTCCAAGTGTTTATAATAAGGAGAATGTACAAATGGACGGACCAATATCTAGAGATGATAAAACTATGTATTTCTACGACGTATCCATGGAAACAACTAAGATAGTGTCGACAAATTGCAAACGAAAAATTCCTGATATAAACACTTGTAAATCATTGTCTGAAAAGAATACACATGGTGGAAAAGATATAAATGAATCGGCCTGTTTTGACAAAAGAACAAACTTATTATGTAAATCTATGGAGTTTACTGAAACTGTTCCAACTTTGTGTAATGAAAGAATGCTTCATGCTGCACACGTTGCACAATCTGTGAACGACAGTACGTGTGAAGATTATAAAAATGACAAAACTGAGTTTTTCAATGATTCATCAATGGAAATAACGAAATCAGTAAATATGTTATTACCTTTACACGTTGACAAGGAGAATTTAAACATGGATGAATTGACACCGAAAGGTGACAAAACTATGCTTTTCCACAACGTGTCCATGGAAATGACTACAGCAATATCGAGAAACCGAAACGAAATTACTCAGTCAATTACTGGTAAATCGATGTCTAGAGAGAATACATGTGGAGAAAGAGAACCGAGCAATTTAATCTGTTTTAACGAAGAAACACAATTATTATGTAAATCTGTGGAGTTTACTGAAGCTGTTCCAACTCCTTTATGTAACGAAAGAACATTTCATGCTGCACACGTTGCACAAACTGTAAATAAAAGTACATGGGAAGATAAGGAAAACGATGGAACTGAAGTTTTTAATGATTTATCAATGGAGATAACAAAATCAGTAAATATGTTACCTTTAGACATTGACGAGAAGAATTTAAAAATTGATCAACGTATCTCAAAGGATAAAACTGTGTCCTTCCATAATGTATCCATGGAAATGACTGCACCAGTGTCGTCGAGAAACCGAGACGAAACTATTCAGCCAATTACTTATAAATCAATGTCTAAAGAGAATTCATATGTAAAAAAAGATACAACCAATTCAACCTGCTTTAATGAAAGAACAAAATTATTGTGTAAATCTATGGAATTCACTCAAGTTGTCCCAATTTCCTTGCACGAAGAGAGAACATTTGATACTTGCCACGCTGCACAATCTACATGTTCTCAAACATTATCGAAAACAACTTTATTGCCTGCTCAAAAATCTGCGGAGGAAGCATTACAAACGAATGCAGTTGCAAACGAAACAATTCAAACCGAATCAATGGAAATTACTGCGGCAGTGCCACCAACATTACAACTTGTGCAAGACGTGATAGCAAGTGAAACAGAAAATTTAATTCTTCCTAAAAATGATGAATTCCAACATCTAATGGCAAATAATAATCTAACAACATGTAACAAAAGTACAACAAGAGAGAATTTTACAATTCCAAGAGAAACAGAAAATATTGAACACAATGAATTATCTAATGTTACTCAGCCTCCACTGGATAATTTAGATTATTGCCCAAATGCAAACTTGGAAAATGCCAGCGGCAAAAAAAGAATGTCTGATGCAAGTGAAAGATTGCTTTCGAAACGAGCTCGCACTTCTTTTATGCAAGTTCAGTCTTTTGAGGACAATAATATACATTCATTTTCTAGCGGTAACGCTAACTGTGCAAATGATATAGAACGTAATGAGTCCTTAATAAAAGATACAATGAATCACACGCAGGTATCTCAGTCAAATCTCAAAGAGAATGAGATGGATCTAAACGAAATCAGTGAAAATAGTTTCTTAACGAGAAGTATGCCGTACCTGAAAAACAGTCTCGTAGAGCTACACTCGATTAACCCGCCATCATGTTTAGAGAGCGAGGAAGAAAATTCTTTCTATGAAATTCAACACGAACTTCAATCGCCGACCATTACTGATATAGCAATCAATAATATTTCTGATCGATCAATAACAAACAATGCAGAATCCGAGTATCTAAGAGACAAACTAATAAATGAGAACAATCAAGCAGATTATCACGTAGGAGACAAAACTGAGGATAATCAGCAAGTTGATAATTGCCAAACGATCACGAGGACAATTATGAATGACCATCGACCTGATAAATTAAATTATTGTACGACAAAAAGTATTAATGAAGAAAGCATATCATCAATGAATGCTGAGAATGGAAAGACTCCGACAGTACAAGATATTAACCATTACACATCAGTAATTGTCAAAGAACTTGAAATGACAGATGAAGATCAAGCAGCTGAAAGAGAATATACTCGAAAAGGGCTAAACGAGGATACACAGCTGCAGAATGACATTCAAGAGTACGAACAATATTCGGATGAAGAAAGACAAGAAACAGAGAAGTGCAATAATCATCTCGAAGGTGCAGGAGCTGTAGTTGAGGGTCAAATAGAATCTAAAGAATGCGAAAAAAGTTTTAATAATGAAGCGACACAAAGTATGGAACAACAGGATGAATGTGCAATAGAAAGGCCCGGAACGCCACAATATATTAGCACGATTGAGGATATTAAAAATAAATCTTTGAACGAACAAGATCCGTTTTTAATATTTTTGCAAAAATTACAAACTCATGCCGCAAGGTATATACATATATATATATTTTTTTTAATTATATGTATATTTCGTTGTCGAAAAAGATTATAAAGATCTAATATTATTTTGTTATAGAGACGATTGCATTTGGAATGTATATCATAAGAATATCGATAAGAAACTGATCGTTTTCGATTTCATGTCAAATTCATTATTGATAGCGACGTATTTATCACATGATTTTAATGGCTCCGAAGAAAGTGTGATTAAAGAAATCAAGATTATTTCTCGCATTTCAGGTAATTATTCAAATGCCAGTTAAAAGATAAAAAATTACAGTACTTTTAAACTTACGTCTTTTCTTTTGCTAGATGATGCAGAAGTATTAATAAGGATAGTTCACAAATTAATTTTGGAGAAAATAAATGTGGAAATACTTACCAAATTATATAGAACTCATCAGGACATTCTTCCGATGCTAGATTTTATTTCACAAGATGTCAAATTAGCCATGGATTTCATGTTCGACTTGAGACGTTTGGACGATTTAAACTTAATGGAGATTGCCTATGACCAGTAATAATTTACATACACTTATTTAACATATTATAATCAACATACATACATATATATCGACTTGACAAAATTGTAATAATTTGTTTATTTTAGAATTTCATTCGTCTCTCGAAGTAAACAAATGGACATTATATTGCAAGTTACGATCAAAGTTAAACAGTTTAATAAGCTCACTTCGAATGATATCAGCCTTCATTGTCTACTGGGAAAGAATAGAATAAAGTAAGTAAGAGATAACTTGAATATAATGGTTTAAAAATTTGATAAAATTATTTTTCTCCTTTTTTTTACAGAGAAACGGACATTAAAAACTTATTTAAAAACATAAAAAGGGACTACAAGTTTTTACGAAGGTATATGAACGATGTCAAGGATTATATTGATATAATAGAAGAGACTATCAAGTAATCTAATGATCGAGTATGAAAAGATTTTCGATCGATCTTTTAATGAAGATATCGTTATTTTCTTGCAATATGCTCAAGTTAGAAATAAAATTAATAAATTTTTGAATCACCAAGATTGTAAACAATGATACTATAATAGCGTCTTCTTATTTTTATATTGTTGCGTGCGTAAATTATATAATAAAAATACAATATAAATATAATATTTGTTGTATAAATAGTATATACAAATATAAAAATGTTGCACGCGTGCGCGTGCATGTGTGTACAAATTTTGTAATTAGTTAAATTTCTTCTGATAAAAATTTTAATGACGTAATGCGCTCTCAACAAATTTTTCGTTTTACACTATAACGCAACTGCATTATGAGCAGCAATAAAATTGCGAAGCACAGAAGTCAATCTACTAGTTTCAATGCAGCCGGTTCAGAGAATGCAGCTTTTTGTGCAAGCACAACAACCCTTGGACAGTATATCGTGCGAACGATCGTCTTTCACGGAATCATACGACTTTCCGTCGCGATCTAGAAAAACACTTGCCGTTCACAATCGAGCATTAATAATGGACTTTGGTCGCGGGATCGAATAATCTGAAGCTGCAAAACAATTTTATTATAACTATCATTCTTATTTAACTCCGACCTTTTCGTATTGATTAACGTTCTCTAAAATTAATAACATTCATATTTCATTATTTTTCTTACGTTAGTCCAATTTATCTTGTTTTGTGAAGGTACGACACTAAAAATATTTATTTAATAATGGTATAGAATAGTAAAGTGCTGTGACTCGGATATTATTAATTTCTTACAATATCTAGAACTAAATTCCTGTAGCACTGCTTTCTTTCCCGATTTGCATGGAAAATTGTTATTTTGTTTTTGCACAATATAAGGAATTTTTGTCATTGTCATTAATTAGAAAAATTATGATGGTAAAATTACAAGAATTAATAAATATGAAATATCATATATGATATTGAAACTTGGTGATTTTGAGATACAATGTATAATTTCCGGCGTGTTATAAACATCTCGAGCTTGTTAAAGAAGTTGGACTTTCTTTCACCGCGACTGTGCCAGTCTCTCGGCTGCAGCGTGGGCGTAGAGGCCCGGTTTTACGTGATTTCGTAACGACGATGGCAAACAGATTTCCAGTATCAAAAGGCATTTCGTGAGGATCCCGAAGACCTTCGGGGCCCCCTACCATTCTACCTACTCTCTCTTTCTTTCTCCTTCTCGCCTGCTTCCTATGCTTGAGCCTCTCTCTCAAATCTTCACGCATACGAAAACAGCACATACGGAGATCATTTGGTCACTACTTTTTATACTTTTCGCGGATACATAAATAATTAGACTTGTCACTTGCTAGTGAATGGAAGATACAGGGATATCGCGATACAAAAAATGGTTTCCTTATTAGACGAATTAAAAGAAGAATCTCTTAATTATCTAGTTGGATTAATCAATGATCGTCGATGCTCTTAGAATCATAGAAGTTGGAGATTTTCGAAATTTTTCTGAATATTCGAAAAAAAGTGAGTCGTTACTCAGCATTGGAAAGGGGGTTCCTCTTCCTACGGTGGTTCACACGACATCGCCGTCGTTGTTCTTCTCATTGTCGTTGTTGTCAATCGTGACGATACCTGCTCGAGCTCCGGTGGAGAGCCGGTACGGAGAGCGCGACTGTGGCAAGTGGGCGTAAGGGCCGGGAGAGAGAACGTCGTCCCGTGTTCCATACATGGCTATGCTATGTGGAAACCAAGAGACACAGAGAGACGGACGGAGCGACATGGACCGGGGGAGTCCCCACCGTGTGGACGGTGGAGGCGACGTTTTCTCGTCTCTCGGAACGGTTGCCGAGCATGCTCTTGACTTGAGGCACATTGCCTCGCAGCACGCATGTCGTACGATCATTCGTACGACCATCCTAGTATTATTGTTGGAGCATTCGCATCACCGTGCCTTTCCTTCCAAGATGCACACACAATACCTGTTTTCCACATGATTCTACGAGAGTTCACGTCCGATGACTTACGTGTATATGTGTGAATACAGTGTACATCCTGGTGAACGAATCTCAACGATCATCATTGGACTGATGGTTGAGATTGCCAATTTGTGCTATTAACAGAGATTCCTCGGAAAGATCTCGTGTGCGACAATTTTGCAGCAATGCTGCGAGGGATTCAGTACTGAAGAGTGATCAGAGTCGAGCTTTAACCGTCGAAATACGCCGCCAACGTAACAGGACGTAAGGAAGATCTCGTACAATTTCCAAGGAGTGATATGATACCAGGAAACGTTCCAATCCTCGAGGATTGATTCTTCATTGATATAGTACAGATCGCACGATGCACTCGCCAACACTCGACCGGCGTGGGTGCTACTGGGTTCCTCCTCCGCTTTGAGACCGAGGTCAGGTGTGGGAGGGTGCAAGGGTTGGCAACACGCTCGAGACTGGCACATTATACATTAGAGGTACGTATTTTCTCTCTAACGTTCTCTAATCGTAATATAGTCCTGCATTTCCTGCCTAAGAATATTTCAATTAACATTCAAATATTTCCATTTTTTTCTCTAGCAGACTCTAATAAAATAGAGATAACTGTACTTACGAGCTGTTACAATAAAACAAATGGTTGTAATATGAACAACATATTGTATTGAACGAAAATTTTGCGATACATTTATATCCGAAAAAAAGCTCGTCTTTTCGTGTTCGATTGCAAGCTCCATTCTTATAAAACTTTGGCTTTTTTACTGGCAAGTGGGGTGCGTCTTGCAAACTTATCGAGATTCTCCACAATCTCCGTTGTAGGATGTCGATACGTCAATACCTCATTCATAATTTCTATCGGAGTTAACGGATTAAATTTAAGGGTAATTCTTCGGCGCAGCGATAACACCTTCTCCACAGCTTGTCGGATAAAATTCAAAGGAATACCGACGGACATCTTGGTCAGACAGGAGACATCAATGTCGCGATCGACACCGTGATATTTCATTAGTAGATTTTTATAGTACATGTAAAGTGTGTTGTAGTCGGTGGTGGGCACCATTATAAATTTATCATGGATCTTGATGAAGGCAGCTCTTGCTTTCTGAGGTTCTTCGGACAACGAGAGAAATAGTATCTGTTGAGTTAATTCGTCATATTAATAATTAACATAATTAACGTAATAAAAATCAGATTTCATTAATGTGTCAAAGGTTCTAATAAATCTCGTTGAATTGGTGTCGTAACTCTTATACAGATTTTAATGAAAGTTGTAATAAAACGATAATATGTTAACTTTTCAAGTGAATGTCAATCTGCTTAATCTCTACAGTATTGCGCGAGTAACAGTATCTGTCCGGAATTTTCAACACTCTAAATCCTACGTTAACTTGCCGCCACCTACGTGCTCATACGGCGGCCATTTATACAGGTAGGAGGTGTTTCATTGATGAGCAACCTCGAGCGATCGAGATGAGAGATCTGAACGGCGCGGGAGAAAGAGAAAGAAAGAGAGAGAGAGAGAGAGAGAGAGAGAGAGAGAGAGAGAGAGAGAGTCCCATGTATGTGGACCCCACATGTATGTGGACCCGTCGAGGTGGCGGCTATTCATTCATATTAAAGAAAGATCTCAAACGGGAATAACAAGAATTTTACAAAGTGGGCGTTGCTCGATTGCGTTGCTCGATACGCTTTGATACAGTCCTCCAATTTAGGAGTGCTACTCTGAGTTCTCACGATATATATTTCTAATGCCTAAGGCTCTTTATATGCTTTACAGTATTATGAGAAGAATAAAAATTTGCATATTACTTTGTATTTCAATTTGCTTTTCTCATAGAGGAAGCTTTGTAAATTCAGGTACAAATCGGAAATTGCTTCTTCAGAATTTTAATTCGCACACAAAGCATCCTCTATGAGAAAGCCATGTTCAAGTTTCTAATTTTTCTTCTATGTGCACACAGGTTTTTGGTTTTTGTTTTCCAATCTCTCTCTCCCTCTCTCTCTCTCTCTCTCTCTCTCTCTCTCTCTCTCTCTCTCTCTCTCTCTCTCTCTCTCTCTTTGCAGCTTTACCTGGTCACCTGGCTTAATGTCTTTCACTAGTTTAACAAAATACTTTGCGAATCGCTTGGGTTGAAGGTGCCTTTCCTCTGGTGGAACTTTTCTTAGCCAAGGTTTTTCGCCCGCATCGAGAAATATGACGGAAGGCGCGTAAACGCGAGCCACCTTCGAAATGATGTCGATGAGCCTCTGTTGCTTTTCCTTGCCCCTATATTTATTAACCAAGACAGGTGCTGATACGTCGAAAAGTAATGCACCGATCTAAAAGAAAGAGATAAATGAGAAATACATTCTACTTTTATTTATGGTATTATTATCATAAAATTACAAGGAATTAAAAAATATATCTCTTACATCTCGTTATAACAGATTTTCAAAATCTTTTAACATAATAGTTACATGGGCAGATACAGACGAGAGAGATCACCTCTGAACAAATGGCACTGGCGAGCGAAGTCTTTCCGGCTCCCGGTAATCCATAGATGCACACGGAACGCACGAGCGGTGCAACTTGATGTGCCTCTTTGGAAATTAAAGGCAATACACAATACTCCAAGACGAGCTGCTTTACCTCTCCGAGCCGATGCTTGTAGGCCCGGGACTCGCGACGTGCCTCGTAATTTTGATAGGAGAGATCGCCAAACCAATCGCGTAAGAAAATAATTGGGTAGTTTCTAATGATTTTAGCTTGTAAAAGCTCGCTGAAGAGATCCTCGACGGCCATATCCTCCAAAATGTCCTTCTTCTTCTTCGTTACGGTTGTGTCGGTATCTATCGTTATATCTGTCATGACAACGAAAATTTCCAATTTTTATTTAGACAAATTAGGTAGATATGCAAAATTATTAGGTTCTTATTCATCACGTTTGCCCATTGTTGGAATAACGAATTTCTCTTTGTCACGTGCGTGATCCTTCAGTAATGCTTTGTTTAATAATTCTAGCTCAGCCCTCATCAATTCATCCACTATCTCCCTCATTTCAAGCTGCAACTCGTAACAGAGTTTCTCGGTGATTAGATCCAGATATACTTTCTCCGGATCATTTTCGTCCCGAAAACTCCAGTTTCGAATAAAATCGACGTTTGCTTCCTCCAAGCAGGATAAAGCATCTGTTTGCGGCATTTTCCGGCCAGGAACTTCGCTCTTGATAGGCTCAGCTTTGGGAATTGGTACCATTTTCACAGCTCGTCTGCCCTTTGCCTTGGCCTGTTTCTCTTTTTCTAATTTTTCCATTAGATACTCTTGTGGCGTCGAGGTCTGCCCGGTGACGATCAGCACGCTGCCACCAAAATCCGCTGCCGGAAACACGTCGTAGTGCCCTAATGTGTTGTACCAAACGACGAACCACTCGTGAATCTCGTCAGTGATGTCCTCCATTAATCCGGGACCTCTGATTCTCAGGAGCTTTTGAAAATTACTTGTTTTTTAATCTCATTCTTATTCTTTCTTTTTCTCTTTCGGCTTTCTCTTCTATTTTTATATCTACTTGTATGACAATGCGATAAATCAGGAATTCTGTTTTCTGAAAATTTACCCTCGTACGTTCGTCGCTGATCGCCTTCTTCGTGTGTGCGTCGAACGCAGGCATCAGAGCACGTCGCCGTTGAAAATTATCATTGTCCTTTGTGACTGTTTCGCGGCATCGCCAGCTTGGTATCGTCATATCCAAAGCTTCCTCGAGACGCGCAATTCGTTTTTTCATAGCTTTTCGAGCGACATAACGCCGCCACGCGCGTTGTATCGTCATCGCTGACTTGATGTATCTCATATATCTGATGCGATCTATTTCTTCCGGTATTATCTCCCCGGTCCTCACTTTCTTATTGTAATCGTATATACGTTTCACTACGAAAGCACCAAAAATTAACAGAATCGTAAAGAAAGTTAATAGACATCCAGATAACTCGAGAGAGATTTTATTAGAATGAAACTACTTAGTTTCTTGCGAATACCATTTGCACCATAGCGACGTCCCTTTCTGGCTCTCTCGTGACTCTGCATCAATAATATCGCGCTACGCATAATCCTCTCAGCAGCGAGCTTTGCTTCTCGGGCGGCTTTTTCCTTGGGCGATTCGCGGATTAACTCCACCTTCGAGGGTTGCGCGATGCGCATTCTTCTTCGAGCGGCGCGCGTCTTCAATGTCTCATCCTCCGTCTCGGGCATACTCTCAAGGTGTACCTGTGAGAGGCTGCGTTCTCTCATCTGTGGTACTAAACGATGAAATTTTTTTAAATTATTTAACCTATTCAATTGGTCTAAACAGAATTTTATTATCGATAAACTGACTACGAACCTTTGCGGGCACTTTCCACCAACTCTTGAATAAATTTTCTCCGTTCCTCTACCCGTTCTCGGCCAGACACCGATGCAAGTAACTCGATGTCGTCTGGCGTGAATTTCATTTGATTTAAAATATTGTCGGGCCATCTGTGTATACAGTATTTCTATATAAATTGTAGATAACTCGAATGGACAAGGAAAAACCTACTGATAATCCGTATAATCGAGCTTGACAATTTCTTTTTTATATTCTAGCATTCGCCCGATGGCGCAATCTAACATTTTCTTAATTAACTCCCGTTTCTGCGTCTGGACCATTTGATCGTAACACATGATGAGTCTTCTTACAATATTGCGGTATCTATATATTAAATCAAAGATTTCAGTGAAAGAGATTAATAGCATCGTATTATTTGTATTATATAAAAAGCAATATTTTTATAAACACATGCGCGAAATGTTTTTCACAAAGTTAATTTGAGCACATGCCTCAGGTATATAGGTAACACCGAAGCTAAAAAAGCTCTTTTTTTTAACGGTGCGTGTTCTTGCAATCCTCGTTCGAGTTCTAGCAGCTTTTCCAGGTCGCCTCTCGTAATAAGCCATAATTCATTGTAGTATACTTGAGACATCGGATTTAAATATACTTTTCATGGATATGTATTGTAGAATTTTGTAAAATGTTTACACTCGCAATTTGGCAATTTGTCATTTCTAAATTGAGATTTTCAGTGATCAGCGTTTAAGAATGAATTTGCGTGCGTTAACTCTCAAAACAAAATCGCAATTGTATCTTAGCGTTACTTGTCAGATCGTATGATAAAGAAATATTTTCTGTATGACAGATAATGATAAATGCAATATGTCTAAACGTTTCTTTCTAGAATGCCGAAATTATTTCGGGACCTCATCTTAGCATTGATAATGACAGCGTCATGCCTCGACGCGAGAGAAGACAATGTCACAACGACAATGGAAATCTCTACATTGATAGCAACATCGGCATACATCGATAGTACATCCATGAGCACGACGACAATCACCGAGGAAAACGCATTGTCGTCATCGGCGACTATGACAACACAAGACGATGGCATCCCAAAAAATCTGTCCCACGCATTATCGTCGTCGCCATCGCCATCGTCTTCCTCTGACGCTGTGTGGGAATGTCCGAATATCACAAAAGCGGGCGTGGAGTGTTCTTGCGATTTTCCACATACGCTCAGATGTACCGGCGATAGAACAGCACTGGAGGTAAATCTACAAGTTTTTCTTGGGAAAAATTAGGGAAATTTATAGAAAGATGAGCTTAATTTGTGATGTTATGCTTCGCAACACAATTGAGGTCATTACTTTTTAAGCAACAGTCAAGAAGAGCGTGGGTGGTATAACTTGCCAATGAAATACAAGTTACAAGAGTCCATTGTGTCTCTTTTCATCCCTTCCCCTTTCTCGGTTGCTCGATCTCTTTTTCACGTTGCTTGATAGCACCCATTGTTTCCGCCTGTTATCAATTACGTTTGTTAGTATTGAACTCATAGTGAGTTTCTTTTTGTAAATCTATCGAAAGAATATAAGATGAAAAGACGCGGTAACAATTAATAAATTTTAAGATAAACGAGCGACAGAGTGAAAAAGTAATTTTTCTTATCTTCATTATTTCTCTTAGACCATCAGCGACCATTTGAAACATAGTCAGCCGGACACAATATCATTGCTGGATGTGACCGTGACGGGAATTTCTGTATTGCCGGCACATTTCCTCGAGGATGTCGCACTTCACGGATTAGTCGTCTCCACCGGCGAGTTGCGGCACGTTGATGAGAATGCGTTTACCGCGCTGGCGCGACCGTTGCAAGCGTTAGGACTGCCCAGCAATCTCCTAGATTCAGTTCCCACGATTGCGCTGTCATATCTGATTGGTCTAGACCGGCTGGACTTGTCTCATAATAAATTGAAGACATTAGAAGCAGACTCGTTCAAGGTACAATCAAGTGTTGTATTTTTATGAGTGCATATAAATATGAATAGTTGTTTGCAAAAAAGAGACAGCTATTTAGAAAGGATAGTTTTGTCAAGTTCGATTGAAAAGTGACAAAATATTCTGTTTCAGGGACTGTCGAGTCTGACTTATCTGGACTTGTGCGACAATCTGCTGTCACAATTGTCACCGCAGGTTTTCTCGACATTGCCAGCATTGCGTTCACTGAGAATGCGTGGAAATCGTCTGAGCGTTTCCGCCTTGTCCGCGTTGAGAGGTCTGAAACGCTTGGAAGAGCTCGATCTGTCCAACAATCTGCTGCTGGGTCCAATGGGTCCCAATCTGTTGCCACAAATGCCCAAGCTGCACTTCCTCACAGTCTCGGAAAACAGTCTCGTCAACGTCCAGCAGGGAGCTCTCATGGGTCTCAGAAATCTCACTTATCTGAGTCTGAGTCACAATCAAGTGAGTATTTAAAAGTTGAGAGAGAAATGTCCTTTATTTCTAAGTGATTTCATTTAAATGTCTTGTATATAAATATTGATAGATTGACGTGTTGGAGGACCATTCGTTCAAGTACTTGCCGACTTTGACGCGACTGGACCTGGCGAACAACCGCATCGTCGCCGTGTCCGGTGCTTCCTTGGCTCATCTAGAGAAATTAATAACTTTAGATCTAACGCACAACTTTCTGCGAGCGTTAACGACTGATCTGGTGGTGCCTTTGAAGAGTTTACAAGACTTACGGTTGGATGACAATGACATCACAATCGTAGCAAACGACGTGCTAACGTCAAAGCTGCGTCTCAAGAGGCTCTCCCTCGCGGACAATCCATTAAATTGCGATTGCACCTTGTTAGAGTTCGCCAATTGGCTAGCAAACTCCAGCCTGACAGAGGAGGACAAGTCATCGGCGGTGTGTGCGACACCGCCTGCCCTAGAGAACGGCATTCTAACGCAAGTACCACCGGGCAGTCTGCTTTGCGGCGAGCCCACGCCACCCATCATGACCCGGGTACCTGTGGCAGGTGCGCAACTAAGTCTCAAAGAGTTTCGCTACGACGAGTCAACCGGTGTCAATTTATTGTGGCACGTGGAACAGTGCGCTGAGCGTTACACTTGCGACTCGCTTATCGTCTACGAAACAGTCGGCGACAGCGAGATTCAAACGGAATCCAGTCCGCTGCACTGTGATTCCCGAATGATGCGAGATCCCTGCATGCTGCCAGTCACCATACCAGCTTCCCTGCACCTGCAATTGGGCCACAAGTACCGTTATTGTGTAGTTTTATTGGTACCCACCGTTTACGACGACGTATCCCTCGGGCTCGGTTGTAGCGATGTCATCGTTTTGGAGAAGACCCAACAAGCTGGGACAGAGGATTCCAGTTCTCCGACGTCCACCCAGACATCTCTCGACTCCTATTCGCGGATTACCGGTGTCCACGTAAACGTATCTGATAAGGGCTTCCTCAACATCGGCGTAGTTCTCTCCGGGACAAAGGACACGACTGTGGCATCTACCTGCCAACTGTCCATTATTATATTCGACGAGGTCTCCGCGGTGCATCGACAGAGCCTCAATTGTAGCGCCGCTGCCGCATCCATCACCAACGTCAAAGTATCATTGCCGGGTTATTACAGGGTATGCGCCAGTTTGGACCAATTCACCAATGTTATCGTTATGTCTGCCAGCTTGGTGGATGATCGCGAGAGATTTCGCTGCGTCGAATTAGTCGAGCAGAATTACAACAGGCGAAATGTCGAGGTATTCATCATCATGGCTGTGGTCGTTGCTACCGGTGTTCTCCTCGTTATCCTTGCTGTGCTCGGTAGAAATCTTGCGAGGCGTCTGCGACACCCGAGGATACAGGCGCAATGCTTCCTGCCGGCTCAGGAGTTTGAAATTACTCACAAAGCTCATTACATCAAGCTTCTGGCAACGACAAAAGTTTAACGACAATCTTATTGATGAATTTCACTATTCAAAATTCGAGCTATACAAGCAAAACTCACACTTTTCTAAGTATCGCGTTATAAGGAGAATATCAATTTCTTTTTTACATTTTTTTTATAAACTGTTTATTTACAATTGCTGCTTGTCTCCAGACAAAACTAACTTTGTACATTTAGTACACGTTCAGTTAGTTAAATGTCTATTTTATTTTTCTAATGATATATGTTACAATTACTTCTAATTCTAAAACAGGGCCCCGGAGGCAAGATATTTCTTCAATTCATTCTAATCTGTACACGTGTGACGAGATACTGTATTTTAACTTGGCCACAATTCTTAGAAAATGAAAAAGAACCTAAGTTTTGCTTTTATACGCCATTCTCAGATTGATTCTTCATATAAATACATAGATACATACATAATATTTTTTAGTGAGCCAAATACTGGAAGAAGTAATATACAATTGAAGAGTTAAACATTTTAAATTTAATGAGCTACAAAATTTCCACTATATCTTAATATTTTTACAAGTATTTAGTATAGACACACACACACACACATACAAGTGTCTAACTCTGAGGGGAAGGTATCTTCTCATCTTGTAATATATATTATATGTACTAATTTTCTATTAGTGTTACATGCTGTAAATATGTTTTTTTTATTGTTTTTAATATCCACAAACACGTCGCGTGTACTATTGTACAGTAATATATATACATATAATTACTATTATGTTATATCTAGCAGCTATTTCATTTTATTTACTAAATATGCAGAGATGCACAAATGTGTTTCTCATAGATAAATGAGAGTATAAATAAACGATTGTTTAAAATAGATGTCTATTTTCTCTCTCCGTTTTGCTTATTTTTTCTAAAGACATATGTAGCGTCATCTTGAGGAGAATCGATCAATACATGACTTTTGACAGTTGGCTTTATCAACAATCGATTGAAAAATTTTTTTCGTCATAGTTCCCTCCGCACCCGATAGGCACGATAAATGCATTATCTATAGTACACGTGACACCAACTATAGATATGTGCACGCAATGGGAATGTTCCGGAACGCAGCAGAACGTAGCTAGAGATAGAGGAGATAGGGCAACATTCCTAAATAATCTGTCCTTTATCGATCAGTATTAAAAATTTTATTTCGTCACAAGTAAAATAACGAGAGATCAATCAAGATCCAAGTATCAAAGTTATTTCTCAAGAAAGCCTAATTTAAAAGAGAATTAACATTGTCAATTTTGATTATATAACGGTCCATTCCATTTTGTTGTCATTACTTTAAGTTCTCAAGTGTACAATTGTTACAATAATGGATAAGAAGGATAAATTGCAAATATTGAGAAATGCTATAAAGAGTTATCCTGACTTCCCTGAACCTGGGGTTATTTTTCGGTGAGTGAGTAAGAAGCGATTGAGAATAGCTGAAGAAATTATTAAGGATAAAAAACACTCTGGTTTTATATTTGTTATTCCTCTCTAAAATCTATTATGTAAATAATTTATTTTCAGAGATATATTTAGTGTGTTTCACAATGTCGTTGCGTTACGAGCGATGAAAGATTTAATCATGGAGCACATGTTGTACCTCCAAGTCGATTTAGTTGTTGGATTGGATTCGCGTGGCTTTCTCTTTGGTCCTATGATATGCATGGAGCTCGACAAGCCTTTCTTGCCTATTAGAAAAAAGGGTAAACTTCCAGGCAAGGTTAATCAGCAAAAGTACACGTTGGAATATGGAGAAGTATGCCCAGTATATATAGAATATTGATTCTGCACAAGTTACTTTCCAGATGTATAAACCGATTTTTCTTCATCTTTACAGGCGACATTCGAATTGCAAACAGAATTCATCGACAAAGGAACCCGAGTGCTAATTGTTGACGATTTACTGGCAACTGGAGGTAAGATACAATTGCTACAATAAATATGCTGGTAATATCAATAAAAAAATGTATTATTTAAAGGTACCATGGCTGCAGCAGTGGAATTATTAAAATCAGTAGGCGCTAATGTAATTGAATGCTTAGTAATAATGGAGTTGACTCTGTTGAGAGGTCGAGATAAGCTTAGCGTACCTGTTCATTCCTTTATACAATATGATCATTAGCAGATAATTTGTAATATATTTGCAAGTACAAATGTTCAGTCTGTCTGAACCATCCACTATCAACAAGATGTTAAATTTTATCTTTTTAATAATAATAGATAAAATGCATTGTATCTTTCTTACCACATAACATTGAAATAAAATAAATATTTTTCTATACGTATATGTACACACGCTATATAATATACAATATATCGTACTGTACAAAATTTTATACATTTTTACATTTTGTATATTTTAATGTAAAAAGATGTAAAGATAATGATTTGTAAAAAGTATACAAATAATTTTCAAGAAAAATATATAACAAATTATTAGTTATTTCTGTGTTGCGCGATAATTGTATAAAATATTATTTTATTTTGCCTAAACTACTGCAAAAGTTCAAACCTATATCTTATTTATGGAATCTCAGTGACTCTAACAAACTTTGTACTTGATATTCGAGATATGTTATATCTTGCTGCAACTTTTTATAATTTCTCGAATTAGCATCTTCAAAATTGCAAGTTATATCCTCTGAAATGTTGCATTTATTACATTCCTGTTTCATTTCAGAATCAGAATCTTTATACAAGTGATGATAACATTTTTCTTTTTCTGCATTTGATAGCAGTTGCCACTTTAAATTACTAATATGTTGTTGAAAACATTTTCGTACCTCTGAAATAAAAGCAATCCATTACTTCTTTGTAATATTTATAATTTAACTAAATTATAGTCTAAATTGAAAATATTGAGAGAAAGAGAGAGATTAGGCACTGAGAAAATACAAGAAATTAAACAATATATATGGAAATTTTACCATTTAGTCTGCTTTCATGAATTTGCCTCGCAAAAGCCTCAGTCTCTGCATGTAATCTTCTTTTTTCAAAATCTGCAATACTACGATTACATTCTTGCAAATTGTGTTTTTGCATCTTTAATTTTTCCAAATCGGCAACGCTGAAATTTTCGGTAAGCAATTTTGGATATTCTTTCGATATAAATAAAGGATAAGGTCCACTATGATTTAATTCCAATAGTTTATCTCTGAAATAATTAAAAATTCATTAATCCCAAGTGTCATCAAGTTGTACGAATATTTTGGATGTGCTCTATGTATTACCTCAGGTAACGATTAGGATGCATTCGTTTTGGTATCTCCTCGTCTATTTTTCTTGCAATCTTTAACAAATCTTTGGCTCTAATATGACTTTGAGTGCTGTAAAACACTTTGATATCTCCAGATGACTTTATTAAAGAGATTACGCTGTCTCTCAAACAAATATTATATGCAACGACGCACATCAATAAGAAGGAAGGTTTTTGAATAGATATTAGATGATCCCACAAAATCAACCACTCGTCCCCCGACAACACTTCGCTCATCGCAGTTTGAAGCAGTGGCCACGCATATTCGCTACTTGTGATTCCACGCTCGCAAAAGATGTTCAACAGCACGGGGTCAGTCTCTAGGAGAATATTCTCAACAATCCCCAAAATATTCAATGGTGGCAAGGGATGGTATTCGAACCACTTTTGGCAATAGTTTAGCAGTATACTTAAAATTAACTCAAAGGCGAGCAAAGGATCTTTCTGAAACAAATAAATAGAATTTAACATGTCTTCTAAACTGAATCAAGTATTTCCGTTTGTAATGAGTTAAAGAGATACCTGAAATACCGTAAGAAATGGAAAAATTAAATTGGGAAGAAACGGACTCTGAATCAGCAGAGGGCACCATTGCAACAAGCAGTCTATTGTCATGGCCAACAACGACGCTTTGCCTTTGTCTGCCAAGGGAAGACTTCTTAGAGTATCCAACGCAAATCTTCCACGTGTTACTTTGCTTGCCAAGGATACGTATGCAGTTCTATTAGCTGGCAATTTTAAAATAGTGGACCAAATTAATGTACGATATTTCTCCGGATATTCTCCAAATTCTTTCAAAATAGGCATCAATCGTTTCACGTTTAATTCTCGCTTCGTGCTTTGTCTAACGCATTCCAAGTGATCACTTGTTGTGTGCGCACGTACTCTACACGCTTTCAACAATCTGCTGTCGGGTTGAATTCTTTTTTTCGAAATTACTTTATCCGTCTGCATTATGTATAAACATCCTTCGTGATCTATATAAGTTATATATCGACCAGTAGACGAAATTGCAAATTTTTTAATCCTACCGACATGGCTGGGTATCTCGAGAAACGTTAACGCGTCCAAGTCGCAGAGCTGAAGAGTACATTTCGATGATAGAAATGCAAGGATCTTATTCGCTCCACCGTCTAATGGACGTGGAACGACAGACAATTGCTTTGCCTCGACAAGATTATTAGGTAAGCACAATTTCTTTAGCAGACTCCAATCGTATGTATTGAGAATGCTTATGCCTCTTGTGCCACTGACTATCATGGCTCTGCCATCTTTCGTGAAGATGAAATCTTTGCTAAAACGTATTCCAAATATCTTTGTATCAATTTTCGTATCCTTATGCAACTGTCCTAACGTCCAGACCTGCATAGTGTCGTTGTGATACAGCACAACGATATGGCCAACGTTTGAGAAGGCGGCTTTCTTGATCGTGTTCTGGACCCTAACTTTCAGTTGATGAGCCTTGTTACAACATTTTAGATCCCATATTATCACCTCATTTCGAGAGCTCGTTAGACAATGACGCTTGTAAAAGGAAACGTGCGTCGGTGCTAGCTTGTGGCCGGACAACAAATCAAACTGACTCGTGTCCGTGTGAAGCTTCCAAAGCTTCATGTCACCGGTATCGAGTCCTATCAGTATTTCCTCCGTGCACACAGGATTAAATGCCAGGAGGGTGGGCCGGCCGATGTTTCCCAGTATTTTGTAACGTGGAACATCTTCGGGCAATTCAATGTAGTACAAGTATCCTTTGGTGTCGACTACAATCAGGGATTCCTCGTCGGGAGCGAAAGACACTTGTACAAAACTGAGCCTAGCTGTGCAACGTTCCCTCCCGACATTCGCGCTAGGCTCACATTTGTAACTGTCGTTACTTTTAATTAACTTGGTCCAGCTACTATTATACATAATATATAAAAAGTTGAATGCAATTGTATAAACCCTCGAGAGATTTCCTTTCGATTCGTTTTATCGCTTTCATTCGTGCAAATCAACATTTGTTAGAATCGCAACACACGTTTCACGCCGCACGCGTGGTTTGACAATAAAAAACAGTTCTGTTATTGTGTGAATAAAGGCGTTTGGCGGCATTGGCGGGGAGCCACCATAATGCGGTTAATGCTACGTGTGTTCCGAAACTCATCGGAAAGCACTGAAAATGACTTGCGCGAGTGCTTTCTCATCTTAGAACGCGATATTCTATGGCTTTTTATGTGACGATGGTGGTCTCGTATCAATTTTGTCGTCCGAAAGTCTTTTTTTATGTGAATTATCACGAATCTCGCGGCCAACAGCTCATCCGTTTATAATGGTAAGAAATGACTCGACTGTGCAAATTGCTACCTAGTTATTTGCTTACTGATCGCTGCACTTGGCATTTTCTAAGCTCGTATAGGAATGTTTACGTCCAACGATGCATACTTTAACGCCTGTCAGAGTCATGTGTTCTAAGAATTTATCATTTTATTTCGTTACCATTTAGCAATTTACCGTATTATCCGAGTAAAACCTTGTATTGTCGTACTTGTACAGTGATGGACAGAATGGTTACATTTTTTCTTTTAAACGAGCTTAGCAACTCGAGAAATAGATGGAAAATTGCTTTGGAATGGCCATCGAGTAATTTGGAAAAATAATCAATCTAAATGCATGTTCCTAAACTCATTAGAGAAGAAAGCGTTCACTGTTCTCTTTACATGTTTCTCAACATTTTTTGCAGTCCGTTGCCGAATTTCTTAAGGGCCTTCCGTCACACGACGAAAACAATTTTGCAAATTTTCATACCGATAATGGAAATCGGACATGTGTCAAGAGACCGTCGGTCTATCTTCCTACCAAGGATTACCCTTCCGAACAAAGCAAGTGTATATTGTAATATATATATCGATGATACTCCAATATGTTAGCTAATCTCTTTGTGTTTGCAGTCATAGTTACTGAAAAAACAACCATTTTGCTGAGGTATCTTCATCAACAATGGGATAAGAAGGTAAAAAGCAGTTAGAACACAGTATATACTCCTGCAAAATGATAAGACACTATGAAAGCTTGTATACTGGACTACAAGTTTGCATGTATGTAAAATAACGCAGCGAATAGAAATAGTAATTTTTACATAACATCTGTATAAAATAAACTGTTAATGCAATCAACTTTTAATTGAAGAAAATGATGGATTTTGTGTTGGACAAAATTATAAGATTCTCTTTGAAAGGCAAGAGAACATTGTAATTAAATAAAACTAGTTTCCTTTTCTACTAATATTAATAATGAATAGTCTCACCTTTGTTCTAAACTACTTTCATCATTTTATTAGAAAAACTTACATATGCTTGCGATGCAATATTAATCTTTAGGTCTTCTTGACTTTGGAATCTTTTGTGTGTATTAGCAACTCAAAATTCCTTCTTTTTTTTCAAAAATTGTGTAAAATAATATATTTTTATTCATCAGAACCGTCCAAATTTGTATTCTTTTCACTAGATTAATTTAAACCATATTCTATTGCAATTCACTTGATTTTAGATTTCAGATCTTACAGATACAAAGGTGTGTCTTACCATTTTACCCAACAGTTTAGTTGTAATATTACTTAGTAATTGAGTTAAACATTTTTATTAAACAATTCTTTGGCAAACTGTAATATTTATAATTGTAAAACTTTCTAGAATGCAGATAGAAAACGAGAGTTCTTGTCTACCAATGGCGACTCCCAAGAGGATGCATCTACAGTACGCAGTAAAAGGCCACGTCTTGATCTGAATAACAGTCTTTAAAATATGTTACATTTTTCATATGAATGAATATTCTTAAATGATTGTAATTGATTGATATGCTATAGAAATCTGTTATTCACAGTTGGATATATTTATGGTACATGGCTACATTATTGTCGCTTAAATTTATAAAAGTAAAATGTACCATTTTTGACAATATCTTTAGTAAATTTACTTTTTTTTGGTTTTTTGACTATAAGAAAAATTATGATTTTTTTATATCTAAATAACATACAAAAAACGATAAAATGATCTGCTTTGTACATATCGTGATATATTTTTAATTGCATCTTTGCCATCTCGATTGTTATCATTAAGTTGAATACTTCAATTAATGTACTAATTCTCATTGAAACAATAATTGGCTCATACTGTATTCTTTTCTTCTTCAAGACTGTCTATTACAGCGGAAAATGGAACTTGAAAGAAATCGTGCATATTTGCAAAATAAGTCATTATTTCCAATTTGTAAAGCATTTATCTCATAATAAGACGAACTTGTAAGTTTTTACACAGTATTTATTATATTCTAATTCGGTATGATAATAACTAAATAACGTTAACCGTACTTTACAATAACAATTACGATAAGTGTATTAATAATATTAACATTTCAAATAAATTCTTTTTATAGTTGTATATACATTTTATTTCTATTTACGTGCAACATCTCTCTGATCGTATGATGAGCACATAAAGACTATATTATTTTGCGCGTTGCAATATGTATATACAATATATATATCATTTCTCAAGGCAAATAAAGAAAATTATTACTTCAATGTTTCGATCCCTTTTTACGCGTTTACGTAAAGATTCAACCAACTATGCAAGTTATACTTTTCTTTAACGAGATTAAAAATGGTTTTACGTTTCAAAAATTTTGCGGTTAGAGTTTCGTGCAATATCCACTTGGCGGCGCCACATGTATATACAAAAAGGATTTAGAGATGCGTCTCGTGTCTTCGGGCATTCTATGCATGATGTAATGCGAACATAACCAAAAAAAAAAATCTTGCGGAAAATATCTATTGTTTATGGAAAGATGTAAGGATACACGTCGTGTTTAAACAGCGTCACGCTAAATCGTATGGCTCGCGCGTGTTCTGAGATGGAAAATTACGCCACGTGTCAAGTAATCGACGAAATTATTGGCCCATTTACAGAAGCCCATGATTCCATTACTAAATATAGGATTTATTTTTAGGTTGGAGCTAGTCGTAGTTCGAATCGGGAATCTGCTCCGAAATCAGATTTCTAGGAGGTTTGTAATCCGCAGCAGCGTAAATGCTCGCTATTTTTAGGTGACACGTTGTTCCGAATCTCTGTACCTCGTTAAGGGATTGTGACAAGTGTTCTCGGAAAATGTGCATTGGCAACTGTCAATTTTTTTTAATGCCAGAATTTCTCGTGCAAACAATAGCGTCGTCCAGTTTTCCATAGTCGTGCAACTTGTCATTACGTTATAATTGTAGGAATAAAAATGGCGAATGATGTGATAATGAGAGGCAAAGATAGATTACAAGAGATCAGCACGAGATTGGAGCAGAGTCACTTGGTGTATCTGCAAACGGACGATAGCCCTTTAAAGCTACAACAACGACACAAATTGGAAGGTATATCGTCGAGTAATTTCAGCCTCTTTCAATAAAAGATTCAAGATATATTTTAGATATCACTTAATGAATTTCAGGCTTTATAAAGGAATATCTCTGTCTAGTACCCAACGAGAATAAATATGTATTTCAAGAAACGGCAGATATTTTGCACAGATCGGCGGCAACGTTGACAGATTTCAGCGGGTATAGAGCAGCGACAGCTTGGAGTGCAATTTCCTTGTACGCAGCCAACCTATTGGCTCAGCCCTGGCGAAAAGAATATAGGATAGTGAGGGTGATTGATCTTTAGTCTGTAATTATATAAATTGTATATTGTTTGACATATTGACATTTTGTTGAATCGGGCTCCAGACGTATAGCGGCTATTACAAGCACGAAGTGGAGGCAAATTTGATAGGTGCCGAGTTAATGTTCGAGCAGATGGGTTACAAGCATACCGGTTTGGGTGTACTAACCTTGGAAGGGCCGATCGATCCTGATAAGGTCTCAAATGTCAGTAGAGATGCTATTGTAGCTTTCGTGGAGTGTCAGGTAATGGAACGCGGTGCAGTTAAATAAATAATACAGCCGTTGTACACAGACTGGTTACAGGCTACTGACGTAAGGTTGCTTGTAAAATTGCAGATCTTGAAACAGATATGGGAAAGCGTGTCGCAAAAGTACACCATCTCTTGGCTGGAGGTGCTGGAGTTTCGCGAGAATCACGTTGGCACGCCCGAGCAGGCGATTCGAGCGCTAAATTATCGTTTCCTCGAGAAGGTGCATCAGAATCGCGCAAAGTCTGACAGCTATAAGGATTACTATCCACCGCAATCCACGGGCATAGACGTTCTGCCGTTGCATCCACCTTATCATCACATTGTGCACGCCAATTGCAACGCAACAATGCCGTCAACCTGCCAGACGGATTATCGGCACATCGAAGATATGACAAACATGGCGATACCGGCTAATTATCGATATTATCAACCGATGAATCACGGCTTCATCAATTGTTGCACCAGTTATGGCTGCTTGCCCTCTCACGGCAACAGATTTTACGGTAATAGCGTGCCGAATCCGTATTGCGCCACATTGCCAGCGTATGCAGCCCGAGTGCCGACCGGCAGACTGATTGAACTCGACGTACCGGCGTCCGTGACCAATTATGACAAGACGCACGCTCTTCGTAAATCCACGTCTCACCGGATATCGGACTTGGACGAAGTGGACTTTTACAGACGGCAGTCGAGCGACGGGGATCATTGCGAACACGGTAAAACCGATAGAAAAACTGCTAGCAGATCCAATTCCAGCGTCGGGAGGGATGGCTACGATACGTGGGACTTTGTGTACAGGAATCTTGAGAGCTTAGGTTACTACAAGGATCTCGATGATCGAGAAGACGTGCTGCAGCATAAGAAGGAGCTGGATTCTATTCGCGCCAAACACAAAACACTTAGACAAGCGGAGAACGAAGATAAGTATAACGCGCATAGATTCGAGAAGAAGAAAAGCGGTGGCAAGATCGAGATGATTGAGATGGATTCATCTGAAACAAATGGCAAAAATCACCAAGATATTCTACCTTTCAAAAAGAAATCCTCCTCCTTCGACTTGTCGGATTCAAATAGATATAACACCGATGCGTATAATAAAGATAAGAAGCACAACAGTCAGACCTTGCCGATTCCACGCACGCACAAATCCTCCGATCAGATAGCGAAGATTGCGGATTCCTTAAAAAATCTCGATATCGCGCAAATGAACAAACAAAAGAGGGAAGAGGAGGAGGGCGAAAAGAGATGGAGCTGTGCCACGTGCACATATTTGAATATGCCCGACCGAGACATTTGCGACATGTGCGCCAAATCGAGGTGCAAAGGGAACGAAGACAAGCCGCTCGCCAGCGGCGGCAAAGAGTGTCCGAAATGCACGCTGGTAAACGAGAAAAATGTTTATAACTGTGATGCTTGTCATACCAGTCTCAAGGATTCTCCGACCTACATATAGATAGACTGAAACGACTGAAACTTCTTGAGAGAGAAGCTTCTCACACATTTGCCACAATTTACGGTTTGCGCAAAGGTATCACGTTGCGTGTAACATGTAAAATTATTAACTAAATGAATAGTACGTGAGTCTTTTTCAACGACCTAAAATGAAACTTGAATACAGAAAAGAGAGGCATAATGTTAACAATACATATGAATCTCGATCTACGATATATAGAGAAGGTACAAAGATATTTATTGAAAATTATCTCACGTAGACTAAGACAAATCTTGTAATATAACGACTTGCTTTTTGACATTGTATTAGTATTATTACGTTATGGCCTACATATATGTATATGTATATACATATATATATATGTATACATATATGGAGTATGAGTATTAAGTGTCAGATTGTGTATAGCTATTAGCGATTATCATCATAACGTTTGATAGTTTGTCATTAAAAAATGAAATTTAATCAAATATTAGGTCAAAGCTTATAAAATTAATGTTATCAAGAGTAATTAAAAAATGCGCAAGACGCTGGGAGATGTTACTTATTCAAAAAGTATTTAGTATTATACATTTGCCTTTATACACATACATCTACATACCCCCTGTATAGCTGTACAATTACTTTTCTAATTTAAATTATTGCTCGGGATTTGATACAAATTTCGTTTTTTTATTACAAACTGATTTAATTTAGTTTCTAAAAGAGACTATCGCAATAAATTGAAAGAATTAAGTATTGTTATCATAATGAATAAATTTTATATAGTACCACTATACGATCGACGAAATTATTTAAAAAAATTAGGGTTAATAGAAAGAGAGACATTCTTCGGTCTGCAAATGTAGTCTATGCAATGTTACAAACTGAAGAATTGTTTTTTTAACAAGTTCTGCGAGAGGAAATAAGGTATTTGCTATAAAAATACAAGAATGTTAAAGCTTTACCAGAATGTAACTATATATATAGAAAATTATTGCATTAATGGTTGCGGATTGTTATAACTACTGCAATGATACACATTGTGCTATATAACCAGAAGAAATCATTATAAACATAACAAGGATTTAATATAATTGAGTGCATTCTACTATAGTTTGATGAAATTTTATCTATATAACAGGTCATCTATATTAACATGTATTGAAGTAGTTATTCTATTTATTTAAGAGTAGTAATCACAAATACTTATTTATTCATACATTCCTTGCTCATCAAATCATTAAAGCTCGAAATGCGATCTGCTTATTATGTACCGTTTGTTTTTTATCTTATTTAACATTGTTTTGAATTGTTGAATGTATATAATTTTGTATGTGCGTGCAGAATATTGTGTTTTCATACGTTTGTCGACATTGCACAAAATGATATGTATTAGCTTCGTGTAAAGTATTTTGAGAAATAATAGGAGAATTTTGCTCAATAGAAAAAGTTGTAATAACAATGCTTGAGCTAACGTACTTTAATTTGTTAAACTATCCAGCTTTTTTATCAATCAATAGCATAGTGTAGACGAGAGGTTTTTTTATTAACTGTACCGGCTTAGCCTAATTTGATGCGTCAGAATAATAGATGATTCATGACGATTACATTGAAGCTTATATAGGCAAGACACTGAAATACTAAAATAAGATAATTGTGTGAGGCACTTGAAAAATGAAAATTTAGCACAGTAATAATCCCTTCGTGCTTTTCTGAAATAAGAGAATACGTGTTTGTATTAGAGATATATGCTCTATCTCGTGCGCAATATAGCACAAATAATTTTTAAAACTGTTTATAAAAGGCTGATATATCACAACCATAGTAGAATTGATATTTTTTCATCAACAAAATGTACGAAAGTATGATAAATAAAGTAAGCAATGAAAAGCACGCACGAACGGTTATATCTCAACATCTTAGAGTTTATGTACATTATGTGCATAGTATATTTCTGTAAAATTTTTATTAGGTACATTATCAGGAAAATTACTTTTGTATAAAAACCAGATAATTATTTTTAATAGAATGCATGTATATTTAAATTATTAATACAAATAAACATATATCTGGGAAAATTTACCTTATTTAATTTGACAAAGAAAGGAACGATGTGAGGCTAACATGAGAATATTATTACTTCTTAGCTGTTTTCATGGCCTTTTCTAAGCATTTAGAAGCAGCTTGATGAAATTTTTTATCCATTTTATCTATAACACAAAAGAAATTAATTTGGTTGGCAATTATATATTACATATTATTAATGGAAAAGAAATTTATACTTACAAATTTTATGTTTTCCTTTCATGGGAAATTGTATCGGTAACATGTGAAAATCCTCACATATGAAAACATATGGACTATCACTTTCTCCTTCTGGATATAATTCTCTATATTCTTTTTGCGGCAGAACATTAGTCACCGTAACACAACCTAACAAACAACTCGTGGGATAGACTTCGGGAAAGTCAATATCTTCTAGAATTATCAAGATAAATTAAGGATTAGGTTGGAAGAATATTTCAAGTTGGATATTTTTTTACCAACCATCTTTGAATGAGCGGTAGACATGCTTCATATTAGATATCTCTTCGGAGGAAGGAACTTTAGCAGCCGATGCTATCCATAATCTTCCTCTATGTGAAGAATACCAAGTTCTACCCTCGTGACTAGTAATGTCAAAATCACATTAATCATCTTGATATTACGTGTAATATTTTCAAGTACATCACTCACGTTTTTATCCCTGCCACTAGCAGGGATGCATAAGGCTGATGCATGCTCAAACACAGACCTTGGTCGAACATCTCTAGATATTCTTTATCCTGTATTCTACCTTCCGTATTCCATACGGGATTTTCAATTCCTTTGCTTGTTCCAAATGTTCCTTCAACAAACTTAATAGGAAATTATATAATAGGATTAGCAATGCAAATAGATAAAAAGATTTGCAATCTTACTGTTGGACGATCAAATTCGATCGTTGGACAAATATTTAGATTTTCAAAGCCATCGTACGACATTGTTTCGCCAAGATCTTCCGATTGCAAGTTAATGGATTGAGCCTCATCAACAGCTACTCTTCCCATAATATCTATAGTGACTTTTCTATCCAAACGCGACGCATGCTTGCGCGCTAGTGCTTCCTCTTCTTGCTTCTGTAACTTGTTGCGCTCGTCATGGGAAAGCCAAATGCTATTTGACTGATAATAGTCTGACTCATCATCGATCACTTTAGTACGACGGGCACTGTAAAATTAATGTTATAACGATTAATATAGAGAAAATATCTTGACAGATCTAACAAATACATACCTATTGCGATCAAAGTCGAGAAGTTTGTCTCTCTGTTTAAGAGAATCTTCAAGATTTTTATTTGCTTTTTGATCCATCAATTTATTATATAAATTATCAGCCTGCTTAGTATTGCTCCGAAGCAATGTTTGTTCCTCTGGAGAACAAACAAGTTCTCCGCAAAAGAAACACGGTCCTGAGCCTTCTTGTACACAGACTATCCTTCCGCAAGTAAGACAATTGTTAATTAACGCGTGTCTGTTTGCTTCGCAGTCACATTTGTGTCTTCCTGAAAACAAAAAAATTACTTATACCAAGCAAATATTATTTGTATCAATTTATTGTATAAACACCTTTCAAAAGAACATTTCCATGAGACAATAAATCGACAAATTTAGTCTTCTTCTTTTCCACCTTCTCAGACTTTACAGTCTCTGGCACCTAAAAAAATAATACACAAGATATTTAATACTTTTCTAGCTAATTGTTTAATGATGTACTCGTTACACGATTCTCTTGAAAAATATAGAATGTATTAGTACTTGGACATTCTTTTTCCCTTTTCCTTTCCCCTTTTTCTTATCGTTTTGTTTCTTGGACATACTATCATCGTCGTCGTTTGTTTTTTTGTATCTAGTCTGATTATTATAAGAAGCTGGAACAGCGAACACAATAACTTAGCAATAATCTAGCAAAGTTTTTCTAAAATTTGTCTGGTTACTAACCGCGTTTCTTTTTCAATTCAGTTACAAATTGTCTGTGATTTGGATTATTATTATCCAATAGGGTTGCAAGATACTCATCTAGATCCTTTTCATTTTCCAGCTGTAAAATACACCTGAAAAATTGATAACCCAAACGTTACGCAAGATAAAGATTTTCATTATTCGTCACACTTACTCAGTTAAATGATCCGGGACGAGAAATTGCAATAATTCAGACAACTTCTCCTGCACCCACTTCTTCATGATTTCTCAACGATGACAAATGACGAATAATTTTTAATACACAACGCACCTATCTGGTCGAGGCTGCTGCGATATCTCAAGAGAAATGGTTCTCGCGCTGCATTACCACCGATGTAACAGACAATGTTGATAATGCAGAAATAATAAGTTTCGCAAACTGAACTAAAGGTGTCACTTGGATAAAATAGTTGGGCTCGTCTGCGTGGCCGCGTGCCCGGCGTGTCGTGTCGTGTGGACTCGTGGTCACTCATGGACACTGGACTCTAGATTATTCGTAGCGATGGGCAAGCAGAAACGGCAGCGGCAAAAGCCTCACAAGGAAAATCCCACTGGATTACCGTCGGTTCAGGAATTCGAGTTAAACGAGGAACTCACAGAGAGAGACAAGGAAAAGATCTTGCAGGACGTTTACGATGATGTGAGCTGCAACGATGAGGCTTTCTCGATAATGGGTGCTTTCCAGCAAGAGACACGGATTGATACAGTGCAACGCAGTCATTTTATCCTCGTTTAATGATGGTAAACAACAAAAATAAAACGATTCGCTGCGTTAGACAGCGTCGCCTGTGTGTACGTCGCTGGAAAGCACCCAATATGTTTATTCAGTAAAGTTAAGCTAATAACATTGTTAAGAATTAACCGAGTATATGAGGGTTTGACCCTACTTGATATTTCTTTCTCTGTCTAGATACAATCGTGCAATCTCAAAGAAAAATTATCCGCTCTGCAAATATTGGCGTCGATGTCTTACGACTCTTCTATGGTGAAACAAATCGCCAAGGATGGGATAGCGAAAAGAATTGGTCCACTATTGTTGGACCACAATGCCGCTGTACGAGCAAACACTGCACAGACCTTGCGGGAAATTGCTGACAATGGTAGGGAGGAAGTATGCGACGATTTGATCAAAGATGATATTGTAACTCCACTCACCGCATTACTGAGACAGGTGTGAAACATTTGTTGCACGTATCTACATGTTTTAATACTTAAATGAAAGTTAATTACGACAATTTGCAACGATCGGCTCAAAATTAAATAAATTCTTCGTAGTACTATTCGGACTGGAAGCCGAAAGAAGTTGGGGACGAAAGTGTGGCTTTTGTTCAAGCAGTTAGTTTGCTGTCGACGTTGTGCGCAAATAATGAGAGTGCAATCAAGCGAGCTAATGAGGAAGATTTGGTATCACTCTTGATAAAATGTTTAGATCTTGATATTTATGGCATAAAGATTGTCACGGTCGTTACACGATCCATGATATACTTGTCGGACGAGAATGTTGCCGCCATTAATAAAATTAAACAGAACGAGTCAGTTTTGTCTAATCTGCTGGATATAAAAGCCGATGACGATAAGACTGCTCCCAAAATATTGTTCTTGAAGACTTGTGTGGCTGATATATTAATCAACATCAGTAATTGCACAGACAGTAATCGGATACATGTGTTTCGTAAAGTATTGTTGGTACTGTCCGATGTACTTGTCATCAATCATAGACAGGTACTGTCTCGCTTAACGTCTATCCTATCGGATGAATGCGATGCTTCTTCGAGCAATAGGAAAAATAGGAAAGAGCTACAAGAACATAGACAGATATTAGCAATGCAGGAACAAGCGTTACAGATTTTAGCAAATTTATGTTTTGAATATGACAATGCAATTGATTCCGACACCGATGATTTTGAAACAATGGAGCTTGAGTCTGAATGTTTGGATGACGAATCTTCCATGAATGAAGATGTGACAACGACGTCGACGTTCCCGGTGGAGCTAGTTGAAGTTATCAACGATTGTAACTTGATTGACAAAATTTGGGACAAGACTAAATGGGTAGTGACAGACAGCCAGAAAATATTGGACGAAACTGAAGAGGGAAAAGCTGCGTTGAAGCAATTTTATGATATTCAGTGTGCAGCTTATTTATGTTTAAACAATTTATTGCCTAATATAGAAGTTGACGCTTTTGGAGTTGGTGTTGACAATTTATTCAGGTAGATTATTTCTAACTTCTTTCAACAATGAGAAACGGCATATAATATGCTGTTTCTTTTCTGTCATTTATAGTAGAATTTTTATTAACTTTTAATTTTGGGTATATTCTCCATCCAGCAAATTGATGGAAGTTGCAGGAGAGTTTAACGATGTTACCAGGAAGGACATGGTGAAACATGTACAACTTGCAGAAGCAAGTACTGCTGCTATGAGGGCTATTCTTCAACGTTTAGTCGATATACAGGCGAATGTCTTTGAATCAAATCAAATAACTTGTGAAATGATCCAGCTCATGATAAATGACGTGTATCAATATGACAGTCTCAATGTCCGCCTTAATATGATAAGGGTATTCTGTAATTTAGTACAGCTGTTGAATAACAAAGATTCCAAGAATTACGAAATGATAAAGGTAATCATGTGTCTTCCAATTTTCTGCTCAATTACAATCTTTCTCGCAATTATTTATTTTTGGCAGCTCATTTCCACCTTCTTATTGGACATCTCTAAAACTGAAACTCGAGTATGGGTTATAGCAGAAGCTATAGACTCAATAATGGATATATATACAGAGGACGACATTGACCATATAGCGGCAGATATCAAATTGGTCCCTAATTTACAATCCATAATGCCACATTTCAATAACAAGGTAAATATACTTTTTTCCCCCTATATCATATATCATACATATACTGATATAATTTTCTTATAGATGCATCAACAGAAGAAACATTTACAAGCTGGCACTCTTGTAGTATCGACTGTAAGCGCAAACCTGATGAGATTTATAAGATATAAACAGAAGCGATTAGGAATTGCTAAAAAATGAACATTGTTAAACAATTGTTTTTATTCGATTGCATCGAATTACAGAGATCATGAACGAAGATATTTTTACAATAAATAACTGAAACATGTTTGAAAAAGAAGATAAGTATGTTTATATTATTTCCTCTATTTTCTGCACTTAAATATTTACTTTTGATAGATTTCAATAAATTTGGAGTATAAGGATTATGTACTTTATCACAAGTCATTTCTATGACAGTATATGCTTTATTTCATAACAATAAATAATGAAAATGATAGCTAGGTATTACAGGGTAAAACATCAGAAGATAATAAGATATAATTATATAACATATAAAAATGCTAGTTTTTTTCCACATCAAATTTTTCTGCAAAATATATTTGACGAATATATTAGTACGAAATCAATTGCAATCTCATAACAAAATATACAGAATGTACGTACAGTCTTTGAATAATAGTTCATTTCTAATATATAGATTCTCGAAATTACAGCTAAACACGATTAAGCTTTCAATACATGTAAAAATCACGGAAACAATAGAATTTCATTGGGAAGTCTAAAGATATGGACAAAGCTTCAAGATTTTAAAAGGACTTTCCTCTCTTATCTTCATTTAAGTTCTTATTTTCATCCTTTGACCTGGATTCAGATGCATCTTTTAGACTAAGCGCACTGTGTCTTCTGGGTTTCGGTATGGGATTTACCTCGTCCAAGAGCTCGGGTTTATGTCTGATCGGCTCGGAAATGTGTAGTTCGATTACCTTCACCGGGTCACGAGACGCTGCGAGCGGTATTGGTGAATCAGTTAATCTGACCACATGAATATCCTTCTGCTCGCGTGGCAATTTTTTGAACTCCAATTTGACTGGACCAGATGGCCCGTCTACCATATTTTCGAAAAAGTGCCGACGATTCTCCTGGATAGATAATCTGGTGCTCGTTAGCGGATCATCTTGATACAGATCGTCGATATTTTCTTGTTCCTTAGACGCGTGTTTACTTTCCAATTCCTTGATCTGCTTCTCAATCTTTTCAATTTCCTCCTTGACGGAAAAACTGTTGCTTCGCGATAGTGTACTGGACGAACCTTTTTTTCTTAGACAAACTTCATCAGATTCTTGATCAACGTCTTTAATAATCTCCATCTTTTCCTGAGATGCTCTTCTATATTCTATGTCCACGGGATCTTTTTCGATAGAATCTTTCGCAATAATATTTGATTTTTCATTTATTCTTGTTTCGGATTCAGTTTTCTTGGACGTTTCGTCGGTATTAAGTGTTGTTTTTTCTTCTGAAGGACTTTTCCTTTCCTCTTCCTTAGAAATGTCACACGTTTCAGTCTCCTCGATATTCTTCATAATGTTGTCCTCGATCTTCGGATCTAATTGGGTCTGCTCTTTCTCCTTCCGCGGCGATACCTCGTTCAATTCTTCGCAAGTCTTTTTCATCTCGCCGATATCTTCTGTAACTCTGGCAATATCGATCGGCTCGGTTATTTGGAGTTCAAGTTTACTCGTTTCTGGTGTAGGTTCCGTTGTATTTGCCTCCGTTACAGACCGATGATTGTCTTCCTGCAAAAACATCATCATTACACAATGATATTGATTAATCATCATCCATGTAATTTACATGTCGTACCAGAGGAGTATCCAATTGTTCCTTCTGTTTTGGGGGTTGCGGTGCTCTTCGTTTTTTACGTCCATACGTACTTGTCGTACTATTAATGGATATGCAGCTGTTGATGGACAAATTCGATCTTCTCACGGCGTCCTGGTTGAATCTCTTGAAAACGTAATCCTCGGGCACATTTTCGTTCTCGTCCCTGAGGTTAACGTTACCGAATCGATTGGTCGAATCTTCCTCGACATCCGACACGGTTCCATTCAATCTTTGCGATGATCTATTGCCAAATCTTCGCCTGGGGAACAAAGATCGTAAGTCAAATTTTTAACTTTGAGCCAAGTATATTTGTTGCATTTTCATATCGTATAGCAAGCAATATATTTATATTATCGAGAAGAATTTTATTTTAGCGTTTACTATTTATAGCAATAAAAATTTCCAATTATCGCGACTATCAGAATATATCTACGAAAAACAAGAAGCAAAGGATCTTACATTGGTGGAATCGGGATCTCTTCCGGTTTGTCGTGACAATTAATACTACCATTTTGCTTGGATTGCTTGTCTTCGAAATCCAAAGGTGGTATCTCGTCCGTCGGTCTTGGACTTACTTGTCCAAATCTGGAAAAAAAACCATTCAACATTTAATTTGAATTGTAAAAGAAACATTTGTTTTCATTCCGGCATCATTTATATTCAAGAATTATAAAATTATTCTACTCAAATATATGCACATACATATGTATATGGTTCAATAGAATTTCAGATATGGATACTTGTAATACTGATTAAATTGTAAATTTTTCTTTTGCGAAGTTTACCTTCTGGCTGGAGGCTTTGGTGTAAGATCGACGCTCATGATAGACGTTGTGGTATCTCGAGGATTTCCATCGTAGATTTTAGCAGGATCTCCGTTTACCGTTAAATTTGAGTTACATCTCGAGGTATTATTATCGAAAGTGTATTTCCTTCTCCTTGTTAAAGTGCCCAAGGCTTCGTCAAATTCCTGTTGATCCTTGGACGGTCGCGATGGTGCTGCCGGTCTATCGTAAGGCTCTCTTTTGTACGTAGTCGAGACTGTAGTTACATGCAGCAAGTTGCATCTTATTTTACGTTATATTTTATAAAATCAGCGATTTTTTGTATTATATTTTCTCAGATCTTAAGTTTAAAATATAAACATATAATTACACTAAATTACATCAAATATAATTATGAAATATATATTTAAACCGTCTCTTAAAAAACGTGGACTTGAAATAAATTTGTGAATGGAAAAGTAAATGTTTTATTTGTTTCAGAGAGAGAGAGAAAAGTCATACCCATTCTAACGCATTAATTAATTAAAATATTTTTATATTACAGTTTAATATGTTCAGTCTTATGGGAGTCGAGAGTGCAATTAACTTAAATAGACAAACCTGTTGTAATCGTCGACCTCTTTTCCGTCGATTCTGGAGTTTCTTTACGCTTTCCAAACAACCCATTCCTAAACACAAAGATCGGTACTGAATTGAATGTCGCATTAACCATATTGTTATTTATTGGATTAGATATTTAGTTTAGTTTGCAATGAAAATTCCACACGCTGAGATTTTAAAATTGTAATATAATGTTGCGCTAATAATTAAATTAATAATAACATGTTATTTATTTAGGAACGCTCCGATTGCGTAGGCGATAGTAATGAACGTGTTGCGCGTTTTGCGTTGCCTTAACGGACCCACGCGACATTTACGCACACGCGAAGATGACGAGATTGCGCGCGGCTCATCATTGACATACTTGAGACACATGTTAGAAAAATCATAACGTGCTACCATTAAACGTCCTGTAAAATTTCGCCGATTACAATAAGTGACTAAGGGTTTAAGTCGGAACTCAATTACGGCGTTATTTTGCGAAATTAAAAATAAGTTAGACAGTTTTCAAGAAACATTATTGTCACATTAATATATCGGATACCTCTCTCGAAAACGCATTGTTATTTTATCCATCGTTATGGGCATGCTCGGTTCGAATATCGAGTATATCGAGATACATATAATTGACTTGTCGCGCAAGAAAAGAAGCAAACGAAAAAGGCGAAAAGTATCTTTTGAAACGTCACGCGCTTCTCATTTGCGGTTAAAAGCGTCGATTATACTCATCCTCATTCCGCTTAATATCACTTCCACTTTGCCGACGATCACGGTCGATAATTTGAAGCGCACTTATATTCGCTATTGTACGTACTCGCAACGCGTGTTAATTCAAACTTTCGATTCGATGACGATGCTTGCGGCGCGGATTCTTCGGTTTCTTTGCGCAGCTCTGATTAATTCGGTTATTCCGATTGCTAATCAGACCAGAACTTAATTTAATTTTGATGAAGGTATTTTTTTATCACGTGAATAATGCAACCTACACTTGGAGAAGAATGATTTTCTGAAAAATATACATGTAACGTAACTTTCTTCTAATGTAATTGTGTGTGTGTAATGCAGTGGTATAGTTAATTGTAGGAAACATTAAAAATGGAAAAATCGGTAGTTTTTCAAGAGGTATTGTTATATTTCATAATATCAAAGCTTTTATTGCATTGTTTCTTCGTACTTTCTTTGTAAAAGTTATGACAATTTTGTACGATCGCCTGCATATGTTAATCGCTGATCAGGTCACAAAGAAATTTTAAACATGGTTAAAAATACTCACCAAGTCGATTTGATCGAGAAGCTGTTTGATCTTTTCTTCCGGCTTCTGCCAAACGTCCAGAACTTGTGTTTGGTTTCTTTCGACGATTTACCCTCGTGATGCATTTGTGGTTGAGAATGTGCCGTGTCATCGTTGAACGGATTTAAATGTTCTGGATAATCGTAGATCGATACGCTAGGTCGTCTGGGCCTCGAGGACGACATGTTTCATCCGTCAAATTTCGATCGTCGACTCGAAAAAGATATGTTGAGCGAAATGTCCAAGGAGCGCTTCACGTACAGGTCATCGATCTCTTGCCACAGTCCTGCGAGCTAATTTCGTGAAAATAATCTATATTACAAATTTGTATACAAGAAACAAATCTTTACGTATGTATTTGACAAACACGCATGTAGAAAAAGTATTTCAAGCAAAAGGTTGTTGCGATAAACTAGTAATTAAAACAAACTAGATGCAATTTTTTTTGCTCAGATCACGCGAAAACGATTAAGTTTCGCGATTAATTACTACGTTGATGCGCTATCATCGGTTCGCCCAGGGCTAGATGATGGATGAGAGGAAAGCGATTTAGAGCGACATAATTGTGGGCTGTGCGTTGCGTTCATCGTTGCGTCAATTGCTCGGTTCAAATTGAATGACCCGCTCAAGTAGAACCGATCAACAGCCGATACTGCCGCAAGTTGACGATGGATTAATTTGCTAACCCGATGGCGATAAAAAGCTGTAAACACTCGCGTCACGCTAACCCGGTTAAAAGACATCTTCTAATCGTCTGCTGAATTACAGTGCACAACTGTATGTCGTTTGCATAATGTTGCCATGTGCAAACTGCGTGTCTCGTCTCCTTTCGATTGTGTAGCGCGCTAAATTAATTAATTACATTTTTTATTTTTTCCAGCATTTTCCCACATACACAATTATCGTACTTGAAAGTGATGTATCGTTATTTGTAAAGATTTGCACAGTTATGAGTTTATTAGTTTGACCGAGCATTGAAAGATTTTTCAAGCGAAATAAAAAAAGTTAACGCTTCGGAGATCTTTGTGGGCTTTGTGGCGCGAGGAAGACGAAGGAATATGTTCGCATCAAGTTCGCACTAAAATGCATCGCATGAATCGGTACGTACAAATAGCGTCTAACAAACGCAATTAGCTCCATTAGTTGACCGCGCTCGCGCTCCGTTTTGTTCAATTCGTGCATCGCCTCGCGATTCGAAATCCGATCGTGCACAAGTTTCAAATACGATTCGCGCGTATTCTATTTGTGACGATTGATGAGCGGTGCACGACAAAATGCAAAATATGCTTCAAGGTTTTATGCTAATACTTGTAAGTAATACGCTCATCATCGCTCACGAATACAAATCGTTGCTAATACACGCAGGGAGAGTGCGAGTAAAAAGAGCGAATATTTTGCGAAATAAAGGGAAATAAGAGCTAAACCTCGCATACATACATTTAGTTGGAATATAAGTGAATTATAAGGCACGCGATTATTCAATAAGAGACGATCGGAATCGTCTCATACGATAGTTTGGCGCGAGTCAGCTACACAGGATGTCCCAGACCTTTCACCTTTGACTAATTAGGGATTTGGAATATTGACGCTTCCCTAGCAACAATATCGAGGCAGGTCGTTCTATGCGTCATACAGATATGTTGTCAAGAAAAAAACCCGTTTAAAATTTAATAGAGTTTCGCTATTTGTTTTGACACTTTTAAAATAAAAAAATTTTTATTTTCTTACTTTTAACTGGTAACATTTGAAATGTGATCTTTTGACTCCAACTTTGTATTATAGCAAAATCAACTCCAACTTGGCAGATAAAAGAAAGCCTGGGGTCCGGCGATTATTGGACGTCAAGCACAGTCGATTAATCGCTGATTATGACGCAACTGTATGATGCACGAGTTTCGCAATTCATCGTAGCACGTGAGTGTTGAAAAAAGATCTCCTTGTACATCGAGTTAACATGCGTCGTCTTCCCGTTGTTCATGTACTCTCCGTTCTACAATGCAACATAGTGGATATCTGTGAGAAACGAGTGGAGCATGTCGCTAACGCAACGTTATACATAATAGGAAGGTACTAAATACTTGAACGTAAAGAACGAGCTCCTTTCGCCAAGAAATATGCGACATTTTTCTTGGCGTGTTATTTGCCGAATAAGTCGATGAATTGCCTTTCGATCGTAATTCATTTCTACCTCTTGGACCTTCGGGACGCGAAAATGACGAGCAAAGTTATTTCAAAGATCTGCCATTCGGTAAATTTGATTGCGCAAAGAGGATTTTAATCTAATCTATCGCTGTTGACGGGAAGCACATTTCGTTAGTACAGGCAAGTGCCCTCGCACTTGATTTAGTCGTAGCGTGCGATGACGCGGAATCGATCGCCGATTTTGATAAAACTGCAGAAACAAGTATCTCTCTACCTGTCTCGGATACCTCAAAACCGATAACTAAAATAAATAGCAAAATGCTGGTACATTAGCAAACCCGAGATAACTTTTCATGCGCGCGTTGATAACTTGATGTTAAGTTCACGTGGCAGTAAATCGTTGTTTAGGCTCGAATAACGAATCGATGATTACGATAGACGTTCCGCTTAATTACCAGCTGTATATAATTGATACGCGACGTCTAAGTTTGGCCGATGACTCATCGCATCGTGCAACTCAACTCGTGCGGACGACAATGCGGCTTATCTTATTTTCATTGCTTTTCTAGAGGTGTCATTGAAGCGTTGGGATTAAAAACCACCACGTAGCAATATTCTACATTTTTTCCATACCTGAAAAGCGACTTTGATACATACACAGCAAGGCTGGAAATATATAACAAGTATTAAGAATTCAAATCAAGTAATTATATTACAATATCGTTGCACGCGAGAATAGCTTGAGGAAAGCTTTTCGTGTTATGGGAAAAACATGTAAGATGATTAAGGTAGTTGTTTCGTATAAAATCATTTATGCGACAATTGTTTCAAATTTTTACAGTTTATTCTTTAGATTAATACGTGCAAGACGAGACTAGTTGAATAAAAATTTACCGTAATATTATCATTATAATAATAATATCATTGTAATAATTGATATGGAAGAAACTTTTGAGCATTGCTGTCGCGAAACAGCTACCTTAAATGGAAGACGAGAGTACGCATCGGTCGAGTGTGCAGCGGGAAGCAAAGTCCAAAGGACTCGGGCAAGTCGAAAGGATGAAGAAAAGGTGGAAAGTCCGTGTTAAAAGTGGAGAAAAGTGATAATCGCGCCTCGGGTGAAAACCGCGGCGATTTTCTGGCTCCGAGTCAGAAACGCGGCCGCTCTATTTCACCGACGATATTTTTGGATCTTGGGGAAACTTGACGGGGAATTGTATCATACGAATGCCATGATCGCTCCTCTCCAGATAACATTCTCATCTTTCCGGGGCGTCTTCTCTTTCGTTACAATAGAAAAACTCAGCTTGTACGATAAACTCGCGAAACGAGTTTGCAAAGTCGACGATAAAGGTAAAGGCACGATCGGAATACTTTCTCGAGGAAAAATCGATTTAGCGGTAGCTTCCACGAAACTGCCGTACTGCGAAACCGACGTGTTTCTTTCTTATATCTTAAACACGCCTTGATATCGCGGTTTTAAAATACACTTTTTCAAACGCGTAACGTAGATAGCGTAATCTCTGAGCGACAATACCACTCAATTTTCTTTTCGTTTCCCTCGCGTTGAATCAAATTTTCTGCAATTAGAATGGAAATATCTATACAACATTGATATGCATTTCGTGCTAGGGCATCATTAAGACAGCTATCGATTGGCGTGACTTGCCACACGGATTTCTCAATAAAACCGTGAAAAACCCACTGGCGCGTGGTCGATGGGATTTTCCATCTAATTGCGAGTAGCGCACAATCGCCGGTTCCTCAACTTGGGGGTTTAACAATCGTTTTCGAGAGCCGGTGCCGAGAATAGAATGCACGGTACGTCGCGAGCCGGAACGTATTCGGAAATTCCGTTGACCGATAGATTCGATCGCGTGAGCAGGGATATGGATCATTAATAATTTTATCGCGAACAAGACGGGCCAAGGATTCGTGGCGCACGAGTTCGCGGAGAATATGTTTCGCTCGCGTCGAGTATTATCTCATTGGCAATTTTTAGGTATGACGATAACATCGAGTGACTTGCAATGTGATTTGACGTCGCCGCACTTTCATCGCGGCCGACGTGAATTATGCTAATATCAAGCCCGCAGTGTCGTAGTGGATATATCCCAGTCTCGCGTCTCCAAGGTAACTCGAAACATCGTCTAAACCTGCCGGAAGAGATTTTGGTAAGTAGGTACGCGCCAATTAATGATTATACTAGAGGTACTGTTGTGCGGAACGTATGATCGAAAAGCATCGTCGAGCGAAACGGTGGACAACGTTACATTTCGATGTACGGTACTCCCGCGATACGCGCGCAAGAGACCTGTCGAAATCCACGTACATACATACTTACGTAAGGTGCGCGGGTGTCGCAGACCGCTCGGATTCTCGCAGGACGCGGTTTAAACGGTATTATACACTTTCACGCAACTGACGACGATTCGGAGACACACACGAGGATGCGATTCAACGTGCGGAACCGCGCGAGGGGACGAACAACGTAAACAACCCCCCTACCACGACGAGCGTCGCCGGCCAACTGCGGCCGACTCTCGCTCGCGCCGCTCGCCGTCTGCGCTCGGCTGCCTCCGGCCACTATCGCGAGTCTTCGATCATTTTCGCGTACACGTGAATTTCGCGCCGCGCTCAACGGCGAGGCCAGATTGGCCGAGCGCACTCGGCGCGTCAAATTCAAACGAAAAATTCTTCGTTGCACGTAACCGTGTTTATATCCTCTGCGACGCTGTAGATTGGAATCAAAACGTTTATGTTAATTGTACTAATCGATGCGAAATTTGTCTTTAATAGAATAATGAACTTTTGAGAAATTATTAATCTGTACAAATTTCTCAAGAAATTAACAAAACATATAGAGTTATATATACAAGTGAAATTATTTTATTGATGCATTTAGGAGAAGTTAAAATTTCTGGGGTAAATGTTGGATAAATGAAAAATGGTAATGTAACGAAAATTTGTTATGTGCTTCCTATCAAACGTTCGCTTAATAAATCGCAATGTAGCGACGCTGACTAATGCTGACTGAATGCAAGCTCGCGCATTTCCAGGCGCAAGATGCATGTTTATCGCGTAGGTAGGCGTTAGTGGAACTGGCTTGGAAAGTTGCACAAGAAAAGACACAGCTTGTAGGTAAAAGTACACGCGACCATATTTTACATCGAGAGACTTGAAAATATTCACAAATTAAATCCAAACTTGTCGGCTAACATATTGTCGCTGACATATCGTCGGAATTTCTTTAATTTTCTTAGTTATACATATCTAATCTGAAGACGTAATTTCGGATTTTTATGAAAAAATCTTCCCGCCGAGTTAGTATAAGAAAGTCTACGATAAGGCAAACTTATGGCCGCAATGCTATTTTATTCGCATGATGTAATGCGCATACGTACATGTCGAATCGATAACGTAGAAACGCGGAATTGTAGAAGTCACATTTAGAATTTAATTTCTTTTTTCTTAAAATATTCTCTTCGTGTCACGGTTATCGCGTGGCATTGCAAAATAAGGCAGTGTGATCTATATAATTGCGATATCTGCTGCATATCCGCCGAGTGTATTTCAATCGACGACAACGTCGGGACATCGAAGACGAAATGCTATAAGCATAAATGCGTGATGTGTTTTTACATGGAGAAAACGTATATGTCTTGAAAGAATAAATCAGGGCTCGTATTCCGAGTCCTCTTGTATCGATAAAACCGCCTCTAAAAGTGGCTTGTAGCCAATCAGAAGGCTTATCAACTACTTTTAGAGGCGCTTTTATTGATAAAAGAGGGTTTCTAAAATTACCTTCAACTTCATGACACTTAATTCATTTGAGAGATGCAAGAAAGTCAGATGCAAACGCACTATATCTCCATTCAATTCTGTACTGATTACATTGCCAAACTGATAAGATAGCGCACTTATCGTGCAACTTTATTCAGTTTGTTCGTAATATTCGCGGTCGACATCTAACCTGTTATAATTGGTAAGAAAAAACGTGCGAAAACATTACGACTCTTGTTTCGCGCGCGATATCAGTGGGTTTCAAGAAATTGACAAAATAAATTGATAAATAACGTTGCATATCAGCGCCTTGAGATAGATCTGTTCATCTTTTGAAATCATTAGACTTTATTGTCCTATAATTCGAGCATTGTATGCGAGCATAATGGAGCTGGCTTTCAAGAGCAGCGGCGCAATGAAACTCGCTATTGAAAATAATTATGAAATGATCCCGATGATACGAAAAGTTTACCGCAAAGGGCCTTTTATCTTTTCACCTTTCATCAGATCTTTTTCATCTCACCTTTCATCTCACATTATTGACCCAGTAAGGACTGGCCTTGATGCAAATGGAGATTACACTTTTAATAAATCTTGCACAAATTCGTGTTACAATAATGAATAAAGCACTTTCCTGACACACAATATGAATCATATTTATTCTTCGTATCAAGAATATTTTCCAAATCGTAATCTTTCTTTTGTTATCGACTATCGCGAGATAAGAATACTTGATAAAAATAAAAAACCATCTCTTTATTGCGCGTACTTTTCTCATTGTCAGTCGAATTCCAAAGTAATTCGCGATACTTTAACAGAGCACTCGATATGACCCATTTTCCTCGATTCAAGTGTCCGATAGATCAACGACGTTAGAGATGAGGCGTGATCGATATAATCACGACGCCGTTACAATTAAAAAGTAACGGCAATTGTCAACGCCGAAAGTGATTGCATCGACAGCGTTTATTTCAATCCAAATGAAGAAGCTTTGTTATTTTTGCAAAGTGGCAGCGGGCTAAAAATGAGCGCGCAAACACAAAGAGTATATACATAAATTATTAAGACTGCACGAAAACGCATTGCGCTAATTCTTATATAACAACAGTTAGAAATCGAGCTTGATGCGCGAATACGTGTCTCTGTCGACGTGTATATACACACACACACGATAAATGGCTCAGTAACTCTATGCAAATTTAAGTGCAGGAAGATCCATCCGTTTGTTAAACGCGATGAAGGCCTCGTCGCGTTAACCCACGCGATTTTTTTATTTTAGCGTCGCGTAAGCGAAAACGAGAGTGTAAGAAAGATGAGCCGTATGGCCCGCAGAAAACTTCATCCTTTTGAAGACTTGAAGTGAAAACGTAGCGACATGTCAGAATTATTTTTCAAGTGTAGTTTTCACTTCAAATTTTAACTTATATTTTCCAAAATAAAATACCTGAGCATTGTACAGGAAATTGTTACAGAAATATTAAAAATGCAGGAAATAAACGATAATACATTTTTGGAAAAGCAACACGAAGACATAGTGCGTAAGCAGGAAGAAGCTCAGGTAAAAGAAAGGTTGATAGAAGACAACGTAGAAATGATTAAGGATGTAAGAGCAACTAGAAGAGACGAGGAAACGGATGGAAAAGTCGCGACATTTTTACAAGAGAAAGGTTTGAGTGAAAATCTTGTCAAGACGTTAATCAATACCGGTCTTACGAATGAACATGTCAGGTTAGCCGGAATCGATTAATATAGTGTTTTTCGTGTAGTTATCGTTATTAACAGAAATTTTATCATATTATACGTCACATTAATAAAATAAAAGAATTGAAAAGAGTAGAATGTATAAAAATCTGAAGAATCGACGGTTTATTTTTCCTACATTTTCTCCTCCTTTAATTCTTTTATTTTTTACTTTCTCAGACTTTTAAAGAATCTAAATCTAAGTGACGACGACATCGACAATTTGCAAGATTTATGGCAGGCAAAGATCGAAGTCGACAAAAGTAGCGATTCTCTTAAGTCTACGTCTGACAGTTCATTGTCTAATTGTCACGCACAATTGCCACCAAACATCTATTTAAAAAAAGCCGTGAGCAAACCTCTGATCCAAGCCTTGTGTGAAATTGTAGCGAAAAAACCGGCTGATCCTGTGGAGTATCTAGGCCACTGGTTACTTCATTATAAAGTCAGTTTTAGTATGCAAAAATCTTTCGTCACAATTAATGTTAAATATGTGTAAATAAAAAATATAAGGTTGCGCGTGGAATTTATTCATAAACACATGAGGATATTTTTATTCGCAGAATACTTTTTGTATATGAGAAAAATCTATATTAATCTTATTGTTAGATTTGTGAAGAACGAGCTGTACAGCAGAAGCAGAAGGAACGCAAGTTGGAGCTTTCAATTAGCATGGAAAAATTGCAACTGAAAGTAAAGGCGATGTCGCATGTGTTTTATTAATATTATTAAATTATATATTTAATTATCACCTAAAAATAATTTACTATGTATAACAGAAAGTTGACGATGAAGAAGGTCTTTTTATCGAGCGAAAGGATGAAGAGGATCTTTTTATCGAACGAAAGAACGAAGAAGAATATGGCGAGGATCGAAATTATATCGATTATTGATTATGAGATTATGAATGACTCAGTTACTGCAATTATTTTTAAGTTTTAACGAAAAAATAAAAATAGAAACGCGTAAATTAGAAATATAAATTTAAAAGTAATGTCATGTTGCGCCATCTAGCGGAAAATTGTTGTACCAAAATTGCGTGAACGTAGTTACACGCTGTAGGGAATTTTTCCACGACAATTTACATTTGGCAGCTCGATATGGGTCTGTTCTTGATCGTTGAATTAGCTGTACTCGTTCAGAGTTTATCTTTCTCTTTGCGATGTAATGGGAAAAAGATAAACGCTGAACGAGTGCAGACAGTGTAGCTATAAAGAACAGATGTTGTGTATACGCGGCGTCATAGATACTTGGCGTCTGAAGTTGGTCGTTTTCGTCACGAATGGATCGTATTTAAACAGAGAGAAGCCTGAGAGATGTCACGGCCCCGTTTTTCGTGATACGCGAATGCGATACGCCCTCTGTGGACATTGAAAACGTGGACATTGAACTACGTAGCCAATTTGCACATTTTGCTAAGTAGGTAACGCAGATTTGCACAATTTTAGCCCCGTCCCGCGCTATGGTTAGATCCCATGCAATGATCTTGTACTTAAAATAATCTTAAGTACAAGAGCATCGCACAGGACCTGATTATAGCACGAAACGCAACCAAAATTTCGCAAATCTGCGTTGCCCACTTAGCAAAATGTGCAAATTGGCTACATAGTTCAATGTCCACGTTTTCAATGTCCACAGAGGGCGTATCGCATTCGCGTATCACGAAAAACGGGGCCGTGACATCTCTCAGGCTTCTCTCTGCTCTTAGTAACCTGTTGTTTGACGTAACAATTTCATGTTAAAGCTGTTGTATGTTTTCAAAAAGGGTATTTCAATTTAATACGTCAAATCACAATTATACCATGCACACACAACGAGTCTTCATGTTGGCGACACTGCTGATTGAGTTAATCGTCGATTAAAGTGGCCCTCGGTCTAGTCCGCTCTATCCGTAAATAAGAGGTGAGGCGGGTATTACATAACACCCTGTATATCGATCAACACCAGTAAATTACGAGCAACAGTTACCGACGCTTGCCAGTTAAAGGTGTCGAATCTTGCGAGAATAGCTCGCCAAGTGCGAACCATTAGCGATAAAACATTCATACTTGACGGAACAATTTCGTAACATCCCAGGGTTCACACAAGTCGATGATCAAATCGATCATGATTTTTCGGACCGTTTGATTTGATGACGATTCCTCATTGATTTCGTAAAAAGATCCGCATAGTACTTTGTCGATATCTTATTGACGTATAGTCGACATCTATTAGAGGTATATACGTATCAATTTGATGTATAGAAGATATCATGTCAGTGTCGAGCGATTATTGACGATTTAGTTGACATCTGATAGATATTCAAGTCAAGTCGATAGATGGAGAGGTTGATTCGATTTCAATATATCAATGGAAATATGACTAGATCGTGGACATTTACAGAATATTTTCCAGATATTGATATCAATATGATATTCACCAGCTTCTTCATCGACTTATGAACCCGGGATAATCATATAATGCTGTTGGACCTTTTCCCAAAAACGACAATAAAGTTCCCTGTCCCTTAAAAACTGAAAGAGCTTTATTTTCTTGCCTCTCCCGCTCACGTAAAGTTGCAATTAAACGCGTTGTTGAACGCGTTTCCATTGCGGCAGAATTGGCGATAAAAATTCCGGATGAACCGTCCGGCGAATCCAGCCGCGTTCGAGTGCAACGAAACCCCGTGGTAACTCGCTGATGTATCGCGGTTTTGTTGCGGAGGAACAAGTTTGACCATAACCCAGCGATCCCACGCCGGGCAACATCTTTTCATACCGCGACCGTGTTTCTTACCCACGCACGGAAGTCGGCGGGCGCACTTATGCTCGAGATAAAGTGTTATGCCCTGCTTTATTGAGTTGGCGATTTACGGTGGCTGCCGGCGCTGGCTTTCGAACTTGTTCCGCCGGTGAACCGAGGCCAGCGGCCACCACCGCGATTTAAGGCGGCATTACGTGCGATGCGAGGCCGCGCGCACATTGTTTGACGCGGTAGCTTCGGCAGGATCGTCCGAAGCGTGCCAAGACCAACGTAACGACATCAGCTAATCTTGCCAATCCGCTGGTATCAGCTAGTTTTATCTTCACGCCGTGTTGCCATAAACATTCGCTGACCTACATCTAGCTTTATTTTTTTCTAGCCCATATTTTCGCCCCTCTGACAAAAATATCGCGTTTTTCTGGATTTATATATATTTTTCGTTTTCTCTCTACACGCGTATACAACCCGCGCCAAGCTTTAACTAACAAGAACAGTTATGTACTGATATAGTCTCGCTACGGCCAGAACTATATTAAAATATATGAAAACTAAAATATATTTTGTAAGTTTCAGTTTTAAAACTCTGTAAATTCAACTTTAATGCAATAAAACAAATATGAGTCGCTCTTTTGCTTTCTTTAATATACACGCTCACTCTCCGTGCCATCTTACCAACGTGAACATTAATTGCCCTACTTTCAATATCATATTTTAATATTTCCCATTCAACCCTGCTTGTATTCTTAACAGTGCACTTAGGCGCATAATTCCAATGTTAGTAAACCATGTTTTCATACATCCATAGTTTTGCCCCATTTACATTGTGCCGTGCGCGGTTAACAAAATATCTAACATGAATTTTAACCAGCAGACGTGTTGTTATTTTGTTGTAACAAACGAAACCGTTGTTGCAAAATAACAGTGACGCTAGTTCGCTCTCACCCTGTGTATTTCAGTCGCGACACTCAAAACTCCAAGATTGGCGTCTAAGTCCGTGTCTAATTCTTCGGGCTACAGTTATAGCATCCGAAAGTCGAGCTAAACCTGAATTAACCACCCCCGCCTGTAATAAAAGCTAACGCCAGCGCGATACCGTAGCGTCATAAAGGTCGACTTTAAAACGTGGAGATGGTCTACTCCTTTTAATACACACAATCTTCAACGTTACCTACAGCGCATAAGATTACGTCGGTTCGCGCGTCCCTAAGATCTCCCTACGTGGGATACTGTCCGTATCGCGCTATTACAGCCACGTTACATGCAAAGCAAAAATCGCCCACGCCGTACCTGCCGGAGCTCTCTCGAGGCTCGTATCCGCGTACAAGTGGCCAGCGCTATCCAACGGACATATCAAAGACCGGGGCGTCAATGGCCCGTGAAATTTCGCCCGGAAGAGCGAATCTATGGTATACGCGAGAGAGCTCGCGGAACTTCCTTATTGCCGTGGGATACTCAGTGGAGCTCATGCAAGAGAGGAAAGGAAGGAGAGAAAGAGAGAAAGAGAGAGAGAGAGAGAGAGAGAGAGAGAGGGGGGGGGTGGAGGGAGAAATGTCCAGTCTGGGGCTTTAATTGGCAAAAAAGAGGAAGCGCCGCCATGGCGCGGAAGAGTGGTGGAAAGAGGGTTGAAAGAGGAGAGAGGTAATTCCCTCGACGGCGGACTACTCGAAGCGACAATGGAGCCGGTTCCTCGCTTTTTCAGCAAAAGGCCGGGACTTCGATCGACCTACTTTTCCTGACATCGATGGAATCTCCAGTTTCCACGTATGCCCCGTGTGCTCGCGGGGCGGTGGGCGAGAAAAGAGGAAAACGCGAGCGAGTACGTGCCCTTCTCTTTCCGACAGGGCACGTCGGTACCCGGAGCGGCCCGTGTACGCCGACGAATGGAATTCTTTTCAAGGTACGTCCGGCCCTTTTTCGAACACTCCACTTCGGTGCGGTGTGGACGCGAATAACGCGGAAGAGGAATACGTGTCGAGGGTGGCCGACAAAACCAAGGAGCTGATAAGGATGGTCTATTAGACCCCGAGATGGGTGAATCGCGCGTAGCGTGTCATAATGACTCTTGTAGGAATGCGGAATGAAATGAAGTAAAAAAGAAATTATAAGAACGGGCACAATACGCTGCGAATGACTAAGCAAACCTGTGCTAAGCAATTGCATTATTCAGTAAACAATGAGCAGAAAAAAGAATATTCTCCTTTTGAAAATATGTTCAGTTTCAATGTGAAGATCTTGAAATTAGATTATATTGCGTTAAAGCAAGAAAACTTATTTGAATAAAGCCATTTTTCATAATTAAGTAAAAAAATGTATGCTTATTATTTAAGAATAAGTTTCTTGACTGAAAAGGAAACAATATTGGATAGAAAGTAACATATTTTCAAATCGAAGATTAGAATGGTTAAAATAATTGTATAGTGAAAATAATTATATTGTATTCTTCAAGTAACAATTGTGATATTTAAATAAGATTGTAATATCGTTGGAATGTAAGATTATTAAATGCTTCGAAGAAGATTATAGATTTTTACGTATATACAAAACAATGAACGCGTTGATTTGAGCATATAAGAGTTGATCTGACTCTTTTTTTCTGTAATAATAATTTCGCGCAATGCGAAAAATAATCACCGCACTTTCGTCGTAAGATTTAGACTGCGAGAAATGGGGTCCCTAAAAATGTGCTTATATTCGTTAATCGTATTCAGATACGCGAATACCATCCGATTGCAATCTGAGTGCTCATTACACGCGTTGCAAATCCCATCGCGATGCGAAACATGAAGCTACCTCGTTTACTCCTCATTACATTGATCATTGGTCGCATGAACGCAGCAAAAATTGATTAGACAGATTAAGCACGTTCGTATACGAAGCTTATTGTGCGTGTACATCAGTGCAATAAGTGGCACGTGTTGTCGCCGGATAGATTTGCGGGCGGCGCGTGAGGTGTCGGCTGGCTTTGGCACGTAACGCGACACCTGTAATATGTAATCGTCCCGTTGATGTATTACACAGGACAACCGCGTTAGCCACGTACAAGCGTCATCCAAACGTTCGGGCGTATTGTTTTTGGGCGAAGTTTGTGACGGATGTAAATACACCAAATATATATTTTAATATGTTCACGGATTTTAATCGGAGATAATGGATTCTTCTCTCTTTGTTGCTCTCTCTCTCTCTCTCCCCCCCTCTCTCTCTCGCTCCGTTCCGATAAAACTGTGTCGTAAAATTGTCGGAT